GACTTCACTTTCTTTATTTCTTTAGCAAAGAAAGGCTTTGGGCCTTACCCAGGCTCCATCAGACCAGCCATACTGTTATTCATTCTGCAGATTTCATTTGAAGAAGATATGAAATTGTTTTATCCAAAAAAGATCTGAAATCATCACATTTATGACTGTGAAGGTTTCAGTTATGAAACCTTAAAATTGGAGAATTTTAAGGACAAACTGAAGGATGAGGACTATGGCAGAAAATATGTCTGAAATAAAAAAAAAAGAAAATGAAAAATTGGAAGCAGCTTCAAAATTCATGAGGTTTCAGAGGAAAGAGAGATAACAGGAGTTATTTCCATGTGAGGACCCTCAATGCTTAAAAACTGAGTTCTGGGTAGTAAAGCAGAGAATAGAAGGTCCAAAGGCAAGGTTCAGGGAGCTGTGATTACAGACAGATAAGAAACGTGGGATCAATGTTTCAAAGTCCTTCAGAGAAATAACAGGAGAGAGACAGTACATTACGAAGACTTTTGCAGAGAAATTGAAATAACTAAAAATGAAAGGAACATTCGTACTCTATTTCTCAGCTTTTCTAGAAACTAGAGCGTGGACATGTATTTTAGGTTCGACTAACTGGACACCTAAATGTAGAAACACCATCTGTGGACACAAAGAAACTGGCACTTCAGGGAGTCAAGAGAAAGTGACACGAAAAGTAGACACAGGGAGAACTTTTCGGGTGACAGCAGTTTAAACACAGTCTCCAGAGACACAATGTGCTGCAGAGGCAGCGTCCATCCAGGGTCAGCTGGTAAAGTGACCTGTCAATCCAGGCTTCAGCAGTAACACCCCTGTGGTTCCACTGGGAATGTTGGAGGGCTCCCTTTCCTCCACACCCTCTCCAGCATTTAATGATTGTAGAATTTTTGAAGATGGCCATTCTGACCTGTGTGAGGTAATACCTCTTGGTAGTTTTGATTTACATTTTTTTTTAATAATTAGTGATGCTGATCACCTTTTCGAGTGCCTGTTGCCCATCTGTATGTCTTCTTTGGAGAAATGTCTCTTTAGGTCTTCTGCCCATTTTCTGCTTGGGGGTGTTCATGTTTTCGTTTTTTATACTAAGCTGTATGAGTTGTTGGTATACTTCGGGCATTAAGCCCTTGTAGATAGCACTGTTTGCAAATATTTTCTCCCATTCTGTAGGTTGTCTTTTCATTTTGTTCATGGTTTCCTTTGCTGTGCCAAAGTTTATAAATTTGATTAAGCCTCATTTGTTTACTTTTACTTTTATTTCTTTTGTCTTGGGAGACTAAGAAAACATTGCAATGATTTATGTTAGAGCATTTTTGCCTATATTCTCTTTTATGAGTTTTATAGTTTCATGTCTTATATTTTAAGTCATTGTGAGTTTATTTTTGTATGATCCAACAATCCCACTCCTGGGCATATATCTGGAAAAGATCAAAACTCTAATTTGAAAAGACGCATGCATCCCAATATTCATAGCAGCACTATTTGCAATAGACAAAACATAGAAGCAACCTAAATGTCCATCAACAGATGAATGGAGAAAGACGTGGTCTATTTATACAATGGAATATTACTCAGCCATAAAAAAGATGGAAATAATGCCATTTGCAGCAACATGGATGGACTTAAAGAATATCATACTAAGCGAAGTAAGTCAGCCAGAAAAAGACAAATATCATATAGTATCACTTATATGTGGAAACTAAAAAAAGATACAAACTAACTTATTTATAAAACAGAAACAGACTTGCAGACATAGAAAACATGTTAAATTCCATGTTATCAAAGGGGAAAGGGGGAAGGATAAAGTAGTATCTTGGGACTAACAGGTACATACTGCTATATGCAAAATAGATAAACAACAAGGTCCTACTGTATAGCATCCCTGGAGAAGGAAATGGCAACCCACTTCAGTATTCTTGCTTGGTAAATCTCATGATCAGAAGAGCCTGGCGGGCTACAGTTCATGGGGTTGCAAGAGTCGGATACGACTTAATGACTAAACCACCATTGTATAACACAAGGAACTATACTCAATATCTTGTAATAACTTATAATGGAAAAGAATGTGAGAAAAATCTGTATTATGCACCCCCCCACACACACATATACTCTGCTGTATAGTGGAAACTAACCCAACATTGCAAATCAATGATGTGCACGCATGGTATGTTCTTCAGTCGTGTCCGACTCTTTGCGACCCTAGGCACTGCGGTCCTCCAGGCTCCTCTGTCCACGGGATTCTCCAGGCAGGAACACTGAGGCAGCCATGTCCTCCTCCAGGGGATCTTCCCAACCCAGGGACTGAATGCTTGGTTCTATGTCTCCTGCTTTGGCAGGTGGGTTCTACACCACCGGCACCACCTGGGATTTCAATAAAACAAAAAGAACTCTATAACTTATACAACCATAAAACTTCATTTCAATACTTTTCACTCAATAAGCCTTTAATAAACACATATACTGTGTAAGATACTATGCTAAACACTAGGAAGGCAAAGATTCCCATCATCCAAGTACTTGAGAGTCTAGTGGAGGAACAACAAACACTTAAATTTAAAAATAATTAAATGACAGATGTTAGAGAGATGCTGTATATTATCTGCTATGGAATTTGCATGACACATCAATTAGCTCTGCCCAAGGACAGATGGGGAGCTATGTGAAGGTACAGAGAAGAAGTGATATTTGAGTGGAGTCAGAAGGACAAATAGGATTTCACCAGTTTCACAGGAGCAGACATTTCTGGGAGAGTGAGTTGTATGAGCCAAGGTATGGAGACTTAGAAATTTGTGATGTTTGTGGCCCAGAAAATACAGGTGGTTTGAGCACGGTAACCACAAGCAAGTGCCTAGAAATAAAATAAGAGGGATACTCTGAGATCTCATTATGAAGGTGTATGTACACCATACTAAAAAGTTACTTTATTCAATAACTGCCACTATGGTTTTTAAAGCCACAAAGTGATAGGACCAAATTTGCTTTAGAAAAATGATCCTGGTGTCAGTGCAAAAGTAGTAAGAACAGGCAATGCAAACACAGAACACACTTAAAAGTTTAGCTGCTAAAGTTTTTGCCTACATTCCAAGTGAGAGGTGTACACAACTCAAAACAAAAACTGAGGAAGCAGTACGTAGCGTGATGTTAGCTTCATATCCTTGGGAAGGATTCCATAACCTTGGATTACTTACTCATTTACTCATCATAAAATACTAATGACATGATAACATGGTAATGATTCTGATGTTGCAGAATAGGCACAGAGAACAGTGCATTAAAGGGATCTAGCACTGAGCCTGATTCTCAATCATTTGTATGCTAAATAATAGAAGCTGTGGTTTTTTATCCACTTTCCAGGTGGCTCAGAGGTAAAGGACCCACCTGTCAATGCAGGAGCTGCAGGAGACACGGACTTGAACCCTAGGTTGGGAAGATCCCCTGGAGAAGAAAATGGCAACCCGCTCTAGTATTCTTGGTTGGGAAATCCCATGGACAGAGGAACCTGGAGGGCTACAGTCCTCAGGCTTGCAGAGAGTTGGACACGGCTGAAAATGCACTTGTTGCTTTTAATAGACGGAAGAATATAGAGGATTGAATATTCTATTTTGTTCTATGATTCACCAGATATGGCTTTAATAAATGCCATATTATATTTTGATAAAGCCACAGTGAGCAATATGGTGTGACTTCCACCTATTTCAGACACTAAAGAGCAGGAAAGCTTTAACCAAAGCTTAAACCAAAGGGGGAGACGGGGAAATTGATGAGGCTCTCCTTTCAACTGCTACTTGGAAGGTAAGAATGTCCGCATTTTACACTTCAGCATGGTTCTTCTGTGGTTATATAAAAATGCTTTACTCTTTTACACATAAGTCTTTGTTCTCTCACTAAATTAAAATATTTAGGTCAGAGCTTGTCTCTAATTCTTTCAGTGTCTATTATCGTAAGGAGTTTAATATACATAAATACCTTTACATTTTCACTAAAAGAAAAACTTTATCTTCAATAAAATTGTTATATATAAATATTATACATACACATATTTAATAAATACATATATAAAACCTACATCTCTGATGAGGCTTACCTGAATATTCGTTTTTAACTGCTGGAAAATATTGAACTGTTTAAAAGTATTGACTTCCAACCCTTAGCTTAAAATTTACAGTTAGCCTTACAAAAGAATAATAGGTGAATATTAAAAAGCACATAAATTGTTTTAAACATCCTTAAATTTTACAGTAATTTTCCTGTCTTCTTATTATATTTCTAATTTCCAAATTATCTTGTTCCTTTTTATTACAATTGCAAATTCAGAGAAGTACAAATAAACACAGAAAAGTGGGCCCCCTACCTTAATGTACTCAGTTAATATATTCGGTAACACATAAGGGAGATTAGAAAACTTCAGTCTGTTTGGAAAGGTACAAAATGAAAAGTGCAAGTCTGTCTGCCAAAGGAATGCCATCCTAAAAAAGAAAAAAAAGCCCAAATTGACACGTACCGGTATTTCACACACACACACACACGGTGATCACACTACACACACTGCAACGCACTTTGCTTTTTTCACATACAGTATTTAGGAATTCTTCGCGCATCCACAATTAAATCTCCTTCACAGCGGAAAACGGCTGCACAGTATTAAGTGAACTTAACTAGAATTAGCTTTAACTGAACATATTTGCCCATGCACAGGTCTCAGTGTATGTAAGTCTAGCTCAGACTTTCACAGATTGAGGATTACGAGATCTCTTTAATCCTATAAATCGTAATACCCCGGCTCTACACCTGATTTGAATTTCAGTCCACTTTGCAAACGCAGTCTCGCGTGAGTCTCCTCCTTCCAGCCTGAAGTCTTGCTCCGCCTCCCTCGATTTCTCTACCCCTCCCACCAGCTTCCTGGGAGGTAGGCTGAACAGTGGTGGGCGGGGCACAGCCGTCCGAGGGCGCAGGCGCGGCCTGTGCGGGCATGCGCGCTACGCGGCTACTGGCGCGTCCCTATTCTGGGTTGAGGTGGCCGGCGCCTGTCTGGGGGCGGGCCGCGAGGCGCTATGGCCGAGGGCAGCGGGGAAGTAGTCGTAGTGCCCGCGACCGGGTCTGCCAACGGCCTCAATAATGGGGCCGGCGGGACCTCGGCGCAGACCAGCAACCCGCTGTCGCGGAAACTGCGTAAGATCCTGGACACCCGGCTGGACAACGACAAGGTGAGCGGGGCTGGAGGGGCCGAGGGTCGCGCATCCCTGGGAGCCGGGGTTCGGGGGTGGTCGTCTGTCCGGCGCCCTCGCTCCGGTCTTGTCCCCGCCTCGAGGTGGGCACCCCAGGCCCGCCGGACCCCCAGGCTGCGTTACCGACGTGGGGCAGATGAGAAGGGGAAAGCCGAGGAGACCCTGGAGAAACGAAGAGGTTTCCAGCGTGTTACCTCTATTTATTTAAAAGGGTTTCTCGAAGATTCTGGATCAGGAAGGCAAACGGCGGAAGAGGGGTTCTCCCTGACCCCGACAGGTGTTGGTCAAGCCATAAAGGCATAAAGAAAAAAAAATGTAGAAGTGAGAGTTTTATAGGTAAATGTGTAGGCATCTGACAGTAAGCTATCGATAAGAATTTGTGTGTAAAATATAACATTATACTATGATGAGTAAGAAAGATGGTCCACATTATACTATGAGGACTAAGAAAGGTGGTCTCTAGGACCACCACTTACTAGATATAACCAGCAAACTGGTGCATTCTGGTTTGAGTAAGTCCCTTAACTTCTCTAAGTTGATGTTAAATCTCTAAATTGGAAATACCGCAAGTTACTTTCTCAGTGTTTTTGCGAGGGTTCAATGACAGAAACCGGGTGAAATGCTCAGCACAGCGCTGCAGGAGTTGTTTCTTGTTAATTCTCAATAAATGTTAATTTTATACAGTTTATTAAGGGTTTCAGGTGTCTATTATTGACATGAATCTTCTCTTTTAATACAGCTGCTCTGGTAAATTAGCATTATTTCTTTTTTACTCATGAGAAAAATAAGTTATGGAGAGAGTGTCTGGGTTCATTTGCCCCCTAATCTGTGTGATTTTGTTCATTTAGCATTTACTGACCACTCATTTAGCCTAGACTCCAGGACGTATCAGGGCTGTGTTCCAGAAAAGAAACAGCTTTATTTTATCTATTTTTTGCTATAAATATTTACAGCTAAAGGTATTTTTTATCTCTTAAATATTAAACTGAATTTAAATAGCCTTACAGTTTGTCATTCCAGCCATTTTTAAAAATTGAAGTATAGTTGATTTGCAGTATAGTGTTAGTTTTAGGTGAGCAACCAAATGTGTCCAGTGTTTTTATGATAGCGTAATCAAAACATGGAAAGTTCAGCCTGTTTGAACATGTATTAGTTGAGGTGTAAGAATTCTGTCTGTAGGATTTAGGGTGCTATTGGACACAATGGGCTTGGTCTTCTGCCCTCTACCCATGTTCTCTTTGCTAAAGAACTCTTTTAGTCTCATAGCTTTTTAAATAGTAAAAAGCATGATGATTCTCTAATTTCTAACCCTGTTCCTGACATCTCTACCAAGCTCCAGTTGTTTACATGACATCTCCAGTTGGATACCTGATCCATATCACACAGACGGCATGGCCAGAATTCTTGATTTTTCTCCAAACTGGTTCTCTTCCCCTGTTAGTAAAGAACCTCACCATTTACCCTTCATGCAAGAAGCATATAAGTGCTTTTTTTTATTCCTGTTTTCTTTTCCCCCACCTCTCACATCCAGTCCATTACAAATCCTATAGGCTCAATCTTGAAAAATATATTCTAATTTTTTTGGAGTATCTCTTTTTTATCTGCTTAGACCATCTTGGGCTAAGCCACTGGCCACTGTCAAATCTTGCTTGAATTATTTTGGTTCAGAAGTTGTCTCAGAGAAACCTTCCTCTCTTAAGTCTAAGTTTGGCTCCCAGTTACTCAGTTCCCAGCCTAGAAGCTACCATTAGTACTTATTTTTTAGATATAGCCTTCCAGACTTTGTTTATGCAGGCACCAGTAAATATACATGTACTGCACATAGTCCTTTTTTCTTTTTTTTGAACATTTGGTGTTAACAGATGTTTCTGTAACTTTTTGTTTCACTTACCTATATGTTGAAGCTCACGCTATGTAAGTACATACAGAATTTCCTCTTCTTTTCAATGGCTGTATCAGTCTCTTTAACCAATCCTTTTTAGATGAACATTAAGGTTCTTTCTAATTTTTGCAATTTCAAACAATCCTGCAATGAATAACCTTGTATATATGTCACGATGCACAAGTAAATATGTCCTTACTGTGTTTCAGAAATAAGTTTGCTGTTCACTAATGTGAAGGTCTTCTGGTATTTTTTGGATGTGTAATGGAAATAAATTCTTGGAAAATGATTTCAGTAAGTTTTTGCCTAAGATTAGAAAGACATTTGAAAATTGGTCCCAATAATATTCTTTTATTACCAATTATGTAGGAGATGTTGGAAGCTCTTAAGGCACTGTCAACCTTTTTTGTTGAAAATAGTTTGCGGACTCGAAGAAATTTACGTGGAGATATCGAACGCAGGAGTTTAGCCATCAATGAAGAGTTTGTAAGCATTTTCAAGGAAGTGAAAGAAGTATGTAAACTCTTTTCATTTAGTATTTATTGAGCACTTACTGTATGCTTGGCTCTGTGCTGTTTTTTTATGAATATAGTTGATGTGCTTGCTATTTGTGTACCATGTTCAAATAGAAAATTTAACTATTAACAATTCCTTCAGCAGCATCTTTCTTTGGACTGGTGTGATTTCTAAATCCGTAACCTCCACAAATGCTGCTTCTTAGAACGTTGAAACATTTGCTCTGGGAAATTCTTTTACGAATTTTAGCATTTTAAACAGCAACAGAAAACCATTTCTCTGAGTGATTTTCCAGTAGAAATAGTCTTTCATTGAGTACACCTCCCTTGGATAACTTATTTTTCCACTGGAGATTAATAGGGACTAAATAACCTTACTGCATCCTAAATTATGAAATTTTCAGATTAATTAAAATCAGTTACGTCAGCTAATAAATATTCATTATATTTGAGTGAGCAGTCTACTCACCATAGGGTGAAGATGAATTTTATTTATTATGTCATATTTTATTAATTATGTTAAGTTAGACTGATATTACATAGTTAATATTTCTATGTGAGTTGTATGAAAATTTCATACATGGTACCAGCGGGTGCTTAATAAGCACAAGGCTATTTTTTTAAAAGATTTATTATTTCTTTGTTTGTGGCTGCACTGGGTCTTCACTGCTGCACTCGGGCTTTCTCTAGTTGCGATGAGTGGGAGCTACTGTGCATTGCAGTGCACCGGTTCTAGGTGCTCAGGCTTCAGTAGTCGTGGCGCATGAGATTAGTTGTTCTGCTGCATGTGGGATCTTCCCAGACCAGGAATTGAACCCTGTTTCCCCTGCACTGGCAGGCACATTCTTAACCACAGACCACCAGGGAGGTCCAGCATAGACTGTTTTTAACTGTGCAGTAGAATTTCATTGGCTGAAGTCTAATAATCTGGAAGGTTAAAAGGGAAGTTTGGTAGTGTTCATAATACTAGGGAGGGATAGTAGTGATGAGCACATCTAAAGTGTACTCTTGAAACACCATTTCCCACTGAAAAGAAGTACCAAAGCGAGGAAGCCAGAAAAAACCACTGGGAAGTGTCGAAAGGACTGTGGAGCTGAGTTAAGGGGTTTCCCTGGTCAAAGATAGGATGGTTTGAGGATCAGTAAGAATGACTGCAGTGGACTGAAGCTCGTCAAGCATGTTTGTGTCCATGACTGATACTGTATATTTACAAATCCGATTCATTCGGTGTACTGTAGTGCATGCTCAGTCCCTCAGTCGTGTCCCACTCTTTGCAGCCCCATGGACTGTAGCCCGCCAGGCTCCTCTGTCCATGGGATTTTCCAGGCAAGAATACTGGAATGGGTTGTCATTTGCTACAGTAAATAATAGGAATAAGTTATTCTTGAACTAGTTGGCTAGTAATATAGTGCTAGTCTCATTAGATTATACAGTGAGATTTAAGGAGATAGATTAGTTTGCCTGTCTATTTGTACCTGTTTGCTGTTGCTGATATTAATTGCTATTTTGAAATCATTCTTTTATTCACTTCAAAGCTGTTTAGGATAAGCAGGTCAGAAATAGAACTATTACTTACGATTCTATTACACAAAAATAACCTGTCAGTATTTTATTGTGTGGCCCTTGAGGACTTTCCCTATGTTCTTCTGCACACATATACGTGTATTTTTCTGAAAGAAACTGGGGGAGGTGTTGTATGTGTTTTATGAGCCCTTTTTTAGCCTTATATAGACATCTTCCCATAATAACACACACATGTGTGTGCACACACACTATTATCATTGTTAATGGATGCACACATTTCCGTTGTGTGGTTGGAAATGTTTCATACTTGCCATTTGTTTTAGGCAACTCTATGTTGATTATCTCTTACATATATTGTTGCACACTTATTTGATTAATTTCTTAGGATAAATTCTTAGTATTAGAATCTGAATAAACATGTATTCATATTCTTAAAACATTTTCCATCTTCATATTGTCAGACCCTTTCTAAAAAGAAATATGCTAGCTCTTTAAAATATCTTTTCATATTCTAGGTGTTAATCTTTTTAATCATTTTCAGTCTTAAATACAGAATCTTCTGTCATGCTTTGGCAAAAGAATATCATGGAACAAGAATAAGGATTTGGCTAAGAGAAGAGAAATTTCTTTAACTATATCTAATTTTTAAACTATACCTAATGCTTTAACTATATATCTAATGTTACTTTTATCCTTTTCAGGAACTTGAAAGCATACATGAAGATGTTCAAGCAATGAGCAGCTGTTGTCAAGATATGACAAGTCGCCTACAGGTCCGGTATAATGACTGCGTTTTAGCGTAGTTCCTGATAACAGGGTAAACTTTCAGAAATTGCTAGATAAGTCTACAGAATGTGTGGATATCTGATACATCATGCCCTGTAGTAAGTTCGAATGTAAATTTTTTAAAATTATAACTCTCTTTGTGTTTCTTCGGTGATGGTTTACTAATATTGTGCAGTTAACTCCAGAAACCTTTGTATTTTGATCTTGCCAGTATAGAGATAACTGTGTGAAGTTTTAATAAACTTTTGAATTCCATAATATTCCACAAATGCAGCAGAAATAAATTCCTTCATAGAAAGCCTTAGGAATACTTTCAGATTAAAGCTATGCCCAGTGAAGACCCAGCTTAATTATGATTTATACTTACTTTAAAAAATATCTCAGGAAAATGTCTGTAAGTGTAGGGCCATTTATTAAAGCAGTCTAAACTCCTAGTTTGGCTGCAGAGTTAGCATTGATCTACATACTTCTGATTCATTTAATGCCTTTATGTCTCCACCTGTCTCCAACCACTGACTTGTTTCTCCTCTCCTTACTGATTGCCTTATTTTATAATATTGCCCAGTTCAGGTCACTGAGAGAGAATCTCATTGGCTACACTTGTTGCTTTTTTTCAGTTCACCTTATAAATGTTTTCCTAGTCTTTGAAATACCTTTTCATTCCTGATCCTTTCAGCTCTGGTTCAGGGGAGAGAGGATTGCTTAGTATGACTTGGTCAGGAACAGCACTCTGTCTTGTAGGTGGGGCTTTCTCTAATCTTCACCAGAACCCTCGATGAGGGGTATTTTTTGTATATTGAGTATCAGTGACTTATTGAGTATCAGTGATAACTTCATTCAGACATTTCCTGGTGGCTCAGCTCAGCACATCCATAACTGAAGTCGTTTTCCATCCTTAACTGGCCCTGGCAGTGCCTCTGTTTCACTAAAAAGCATCAGGAACTATTAAATTCCATCATGGTGACACCTTTTTCTTTCTTGTAAGCCTTAGCGTTATGTGTGTATTGAGAATTCTCAGTGAGTTCTTCTTTTTTTTAATTTATTTATTTTTCATTGGAGGATAATTACAATATTGTGTTGTTTTCTGCCCGAGTGAGTTCTTAAATGTAATATGTGAGCCTTAAAACATCTGTTTCAGTTTCTTGGGCCTTTTTTATATCTTTGAGTTCTGGAGTGTGATCTCATTTGCTGTTGAACTCCAGTAACTGGCAGTGTTAGTTTTCTGAAGTATAATAAAATTGAAATGTGCTAATATATGTTTATAATTTTAGGCAGCAAAGGAACAGACTCAGGATTTAATAGTAAAAACCACTAAGCTTCAAGCTGAAAGGTAAGCTTTTCTTCATATAATCAATTCTTCATTAATTTGGAGATAACTCAGAAAACTATAAATGACTTCAAAGCAGAGTTAAAATAATCAAAAAAGTGATTCAAAAATGATACAAAATATGAGGTTTTAAGCTATTATCCAAGAGTAAAACAAATACAAACAGTGTTTAGGAGTATTGATAGCTGGGACTGAGATTATCTCTTTTTGGAAGTGATGTGTTGTTTGTTTGCTATATAATTCAAAACTGACTGCTCTTTTAAACAAGCAGTAGATTTTTAAATTGTTTAGTAATTTTATTATCTTTTTTCACAATTGCCTTTTATTTTTAACTTAATGATTATGTGCTCTGCTGCTGTCAAGGCACAGAACTGTTCTGTCAGCACACATCTCTTTCCCATTGGTTCATGGACCATGGTGAGGAAAATTGCACAGTGTGCTGAAGAGATGGTTGGCTTCACAGGGCAGTCGGCTCTAAGGAAAAGCAGGTGCTGAATTTCTAAGCATGTGCCTTGAGCATCAGATTAGCATGTTTTTAGTATCACAACAAATCTTTGGAAAGAGAAATTTCCTTGCAGTTAGAGACCCACCTGTGAATTTTTCTCCAATGTTTTTGTTGGCTGGCGTGAGAACAAGTGTGGATTCAATTGAAAGTTATGTCTAGAACCAAGAGGGTAAGAGATCACCAATCCTGTGTACAAAGTTTATTCACACCCTTTCTGCTGCTGCTGCTAAGTCGCTTCAGTCATGTCTGACTCTGTGCGACCCCATAGACAGCAGCCTACCAGGCTGCCCCGTCCCTGGGATTCTCCAGGCAAGAACACTGGAGTGGGTTGCCATTTCCTTCTCCAATGCATGAAAGTGAAAAGTGAAAGTGAAGTCGCTCAGTCGTGTNATTTCCTTCTCCAATGCATGAAAGTGAAAAGTGAAAGTGAAGTCGCTCAGTCGTGTCCGACTCTTCGCGACCCCATGGACTGCAGCCCACCAGGCTCCTCCATCCGTGGTATTTTCCAGGCAAGAGTACTGGAGTGGGTTGCCATTTTCTTCTCCTGGCCTGAGTTAAAGGAGATAAGTCCTGGGTGTTCATTGGAAGGACTGATGCTGAAGCTGAAACTCCAATACTTTGGCCACTTGATGCGAAGAGTTGATTCATTGGAAAAGACCCTGATGCTGGGAGGAATTGGGGGCGGGAGGAGAAGGGGACGACAGAGGATGAGATGGCTGGATGGTATCACTGACTCGATGGGCATGAGTTTGAGTAAACTCCGGGAGCTGGTAATGGACAGGGAGGCCTGAAGTGCTGCGATTCATGGGGTCGCAAAGAGTTGGACACGACTGAGCGACTGAACTGAACTGAACTTGCCATCTTTAGTATGTAGTACAGTCTCTTATAACTAATTGTTGGTTTGATTGAGTCTCTTTCCTGCGAAGCTTAGCTCCTTGAGAACAGTGACAGCCTCTTTTTCTCTTTTAATGTCTCAGTGCAAAACACATTGTAGATTCAGTAAGTGATTTTGAGTGAATAAATATGAACTTTGTTTTTTAATATTGGTGAAATCACTATTTTATTTTTCTGGTCTCTGGAAAAGGCCCATCAGCCAGATTTCTCTATGGTGAATGTTAATGTTTTTCTTTGAGGTGTAGTATGTTACAGTGGAAAGGATGTAGACCTTGAAGAGCTGAATTCTAATATAAATCTTAGGTAAGAGCTCATTAGATTTTTACTCTTATATATGAGTCATTTGTTAACTACCTCAGGCTCAGTTATCACAGCTGAAAAAAAGGACTAATAAGTTACATTGAAGGGTTGTTATGATGAATACGTGATTTATATTGAGTCCTGAACACACTGCCTGACATACCTCAAGGAGTACTACCTTCCATATCCCTCTCCGCTTTTTAGACAGAGGTGTATGGTACATCTTGTTTCTTCATTGGCTTTGGCAACTGGAAACAGAAGCTATTCTGCACTTAATTAGATAGTTTTCCTCAGCTGTGTTGTTTATGTTCTCATTCTTTCTTATTTTTTAATAGTTTTAATTTTGATTGTGTTATTTGCTATAAAGTACTTACTGTAAGTTTACATAAAAATATAAAAGCAATTTATTTTGCCCAGATATACATGTAAAAATCCAGAGCATGTGTGATACATATTCTTTCATTGCTCTGTAAAAGGTTAGGAGAAGGCAGGCAAAAATCACATTTTTCTTCTTCTCCTTTCATTTATGTGTGTAAAACTTGAAGAAAATTACAATCAGATGTAACTTTACCACCTAGACATAGCTACTGTTAACAATGTGGTATATTTTCTTTCAGTATGTGTGCATACTGAGTTAACAGCTAACCCTTGAACAACACAGGTTTGAACTGCACAGGTCCACTTTATATATATATATATATATATTTTTTTTTTTTTTTTGGTAGTCCTACACAGTCCACAGTGGGTTGGATCTTCTACCCCAGAGGGCTGGCTGTAACATTATATGCAGATTTTCCTCTGTACAGGGTAGGGTAGGAGTCCCTGACCCACACATTATTCAGGGGTCAACCGTACTAGATTCAGTTAAAACATAGTGAAACAGTAAACTAAAGAGATTAATTTTCCTTTGTGCCTGGTAAATTGACTGAAGATAGATCCAAAAGAAACTCCCAAAAGATTTTCATTGAAACGGTTAATTTGTATAGTCTCAAGGAATTTTATTAAGTGTTATAAGTAATTTAAATCCTGTGTGATAATGATTTGAGCTTCTAAAAGTATAAAACAAAACATGTTAAGGTAACTTGTAGATATCAGCACTTAATAAGTTAATTAAGGACATAGGTTTTTAAATCTGTATAGATTTAAGTAGGTGATTTGCATTGTCATTTGAGAAAAATAGAGCATACTGCCACCTGGAGGACTTTCTTTTTTTAGCTCTTGTCATTCGGCAGGAGCATTTGACATTGTGAACTTAAACCTGGAAACAAACAAAACAAAGATGGTGTGCATTGTTCTGTCTGTTTAGGTAGTGTTAATGATTATTTTTGTTCAGTTTCATTTGAATATTTTGAAATTGGAGAATATTACTGTCCTGTGAATACTACTAGTGAAACACTTTAATTTTATTTGTATATCTTCACATCTAAAATCTAGAAGGCAGGAATGTTGAACTTCTGTTCTTGTGGTTTGTATTCCCGACTTGCCTTTAGATTGTGACCTAACTCAGTCGTGCAGGTCCCTGCAGGTTGAATTGCAGACTCAAGTGTGCTTTTTCCTAATTGTCAGCTAGTCTAAGTTGACTGCACTCAGATAATATAATTTGAAAAGATTTTTTTTGTTTGTTATGATAATGTTCAGAAAAAGTGGGGAAGACAAAATGAAGGAGTGATTTTTTTTTTTTTTGATTAATGAAGAATTACTAGATGAGTTCTTGACTTCAGTTTCTAACCTAAAGTAAATAATAGGCTTGATTTTTGATTTGTTGTGTACTTCATGTACAGGCTTCAAAGGCTTAGAACTTTTAGGGACTGAGAAGAAATTAATTGACTTATGTCTCTCTTACAACTTTGTTACCTTAAGGTGAACTATTCACATACATATAAGTGGCTAAGGATTTGTATTCCCTGTACCATTCATGAACTTATTTCTCCTTTTACATAAAGGTTAGTTCATCATTTTACTGTGGCCTCTTACCGTGCCCTCTGCAGAGGTAGGACAATGTCAGCTAATTGTATCACTTATATGCTTGATGAGCTGCTAATATTTGAGGCAGAAATGAGGCTTCTGAAGATAATGAGACAGTTTCATGTCTTTGTCTTAAAAGTTATATGAGAGATGTAACTTGTTTTAAAGCTGTGTAAAATGCGTAATGTGCTTGATTTTCTGTTGCCTTTTTAAAAATATTACAGTCAAAGATTAGAAATAAGAGCACAAGTGGCAGATGCCTTCTTATCCAAGTTCCAGCTGACTTCTGACGAAATGAGTCTTCTCCGAGGCACAAGAGAAGGACCCATCACTGAGGTACTTTGCTTTCTGTTGAAATCACTTAAAAGAACAGCAGTTACAGAGGTTATAGAGAAATCACTCTTTTTTAAGAGTGATTTATTTTACCACCTAAAAACATTTTTTGTTTGGAGGTGGGAGGGGGGACCGGGATGGGGAATACATGTAAATCCATGGCTAATTCATTTCAATGTATGACAAAAACCACTGCAATGTTGTAAAGTAATTAGCCTCCAACTAATAAAANTCCATGGCTAATTCATTTCAATGTATGACAAAAACCACTGCAATGTTGTAAAGTAATTAGCCTCCAACTAATAAAAATAAATGGAAAAAAAAAATGTTTTTAAGCTTAGCAATATAAGGTACAGATTTTAATTACCTATTTTTTTCAAAGCAGTATGTGTACTTTTTTGTTTTTTAGGAGTCAGAGTACAGTAAGGCTTACAAGGAAAGCCTACATTCACCTCATCATTCCACTCCTTTCCATCTCTAAGTCCTTTGGCAACCATTTTCAATCTTGTTAATTGCTTCTTTTGTAGAGTCTGTATTCTGGACCTCTGGCGAAAGGAGTATGCTTTGGATATCGATGTTAACTATTTTCTATGGATTTCCTACCATGAGCTAAGAGTAATTAGCCTCTCCTCCGTGGCTCCTTCCCCTCCACACATACATGTTCTCTTTTCTTCTGCCTCACAGTACAGTTATATGGCATGTTCTGTTTACATTGCAGTGATGTTGCAATGATTACATGTTCTTTCTTTCACAACTTTTGGTCTTTCCTGAGATTAGAAACTCCTTACCTTTTCATCTGATCCTTTTCTGAACCCATGCCATTCTTTCCAAACCTTCGAGCTGTAAAGCCTCTCAAAACGCTAAACAACAAGGAAAAGTATCATTCCTCTTTTTTTCCCCTTGAAGATACTCAGTTTTTCTTGAGCAGAATCTTTCAGTGTCCTAGCTGGGAGGAACTGCAACCCTGTGCCTGGGCTCTGAGAGCAGGAAGAGTTCCTGAGGAGGGCCAGGGTGGGGGGCTTACTGAGTGACACTTGATAGATGTCACTGTTATCTTACTGCCTAGGCTGGGATGGAACCTCCCTTGAGTGTAGGGTGTTAAGTAGGTGAGAGAATTGTAGGTGCTTTACCTATTGGTATTTATTGCCCTTATAGTTTGAGGAACTTTGTGCATTTTAGATACCTCAGCAGAAATAATTAACAGTATTAGGGATTTTAAAACATTAAAAAAATTTTTTTATTCATCAAAGAAAAATAACTCACCAGCTACTTTTCATGGTTGGAACACTGTTTGTGGCTATGTTGAAACTAAGGCTCCAGTACCTTTTTATAGAGGGAAAAAAAGCTGGGAGTTTAGCATCAGTCAGTTCATGTATGTTTATGCATCCAACTTTGCATTTCACTCCTGGATGAGGGGGCAAGAAAGGGTATATGATAGACTCATAAACCATCATCTCCTGTGATGATGGAGCCATGCTGAGTTTTCTACGTCATAAGATATGTAATACATAGCATGTTTTTCTTTATGTTATAATCTTCAGGTTTACATTACTCTTTCACAAAACTGTATAATTCTTGAAGACAGATTTTGTCTCTATAAACTTTATCTCCACATTTTAGTACACTATTTGGCATATAGTAGACACCTAATTAATATATATTTTAAAATGTGAATAATGGGCTTCCCTTGTGGCTCAGCTCATAAAGAATTCACCTGCAATGTGGGAGACCTGGGTTTGATCCCTGGGTTGGGAAAAGCCCCTGGAGAAGGGAAAGTCTACCCACTCCAGTATTCTGGCCCAGAGAATTTCATGAACTGTATAGTCCATGGGGTCGCAAAGAGTCGGACACGACTGAGCAACTTTCACTTCACTAAATATCTATTATACATTTTATAAAAATTTAGAGAAAGTTGAAATTAGTATAAAGAAGACTTCATTAGAGTAGGTAGAATAATTTATTTTTCCTTTGTCAAGATATTTCAATTTAGAGTAATACAGTTTTACCTGAAAACATGGAAACTTTAAAGTTACATTCTTAATTTTAAAGGATTTTTTCAAGGCACTGGGAAGAGTAAAACAGATTCATAATGATGTTAAAGTTCTCTTGCGTACAAACCAACAAACAGCAGGGTGAGTAGCCTTTTCAGTTCATGACTGTGTTGCCTCTTGTATTTCCAAAATTTTAAAGATTTTCTAGGTTCTTAAAGTGTATGACATTATGTGAAATAAGAGTTTAATCTTTATGCGCCTTTGGATAAAGAGGAAGTTATACCCTGATGTTTAGCATAAAACAGCAGTTGAGTGTCTAAGTGATGGTATTAAAACTTGGCAACATTTATTTAATTATTAAAAAATTACTAAAAAGTTACTCCACAAAATGATAAAAAGTTAATAGGCTATAACCAAATCATTCTGTAATTAAAATAATTGCATTCTTAGATTTAGCTATTGGCTAAAAGTTTAAAAAAATTATAATCTTTAATTTTTTTAGTTTGGAAATTATGGAGCAAATGGCCTTGCTTCAGGAAACATCTTATGAAAGACTTTACCGGTGGGCTCAAAGTAAGTGGTTTCTTTGATGAAGTCTAGATTCATGAATGCTTGATTTTATTTCACTTAGTATTTATTTAATAACATATTTTGATCTTAGTAATAAAATATTTGAACATACTGTCTTTGTATTTGCCCCTTAAGTAACTGCTATCATTTGGGTACTATATATGATTAAGGATGGGAATGAAAAAATAACAAAGTCAGTATTTGTGCCCCAGATTATCTTAAGGTTGATTAGACATCCCTGTTGTTAATATAACCATTATGGTGAATGAATTTTCTGTTGCTGCTGTAACAAATTTGTCTCAATCTTAATGGCTTAAAACAAAACATAAATGTATCATTTTATAGTTCTGTAGTCAGAAGTCACCAAGCTAAAATGAGAAGATGCGCACTTGTTTCTGGAGGCTTTAGGGAATAACCTGTCGCCTGCTCGCTCACTCTGCTGGCGTAATTCAGTTCTCTGAGCCTGAGACTGAGCTCTGAGTTTCCTTGCCGGCTGTCCCCGAGGGTTTTCCCAGCTTCTAGGGGCCACCGGCATTGGCTTGTGGCCCCTTCCTCCATTGCTGATGCCAGCAATGGTGGACGGAGTCGCTTTCTCGCTTTGAATCTCTCCTGCCTCTTCTTCCATCTCATATCTCTGATTGACTTTTCTCCTAGCCTCTTCCACTTTTAGGACCTAGATGATTACCTTGGACCCTCTTAAGTGATCTGGGAAAATGTCCCTCTTTAAGCTCCATCCTCTTAATTCCATCTACAGAGCCCCTTTTGCTTCATAAAATAACATATTCACAGGTTTCAGTGATGAGGGATCTTGGGAGGACCATTATTTTGCCTACCACAAGTGGTTCTATGTATTTAGTTGTGTTTTAAAATGTTTCAATGGAGTGTTGGTAGAATTACCTGTTAAAAACAAAGGAACATGAGGTCTTCACCTAGCAAAGGTCGGGAATTTCTGAACATGTCCTGTTTTTTGAACAGAGTAGACATTCAATCAGTATTTTGTCAATAGAATAGTAAACTTAATTTTACTAGTATGTATTAGTTATCTGTATAAACATTCTAGCAGACTGCTTAAAGATTGCCCCTGGGGTAAAGAACTGGTGATGGATATTTAGTATTCCCTTCCCTTCTTTTCATTGCTGTGTGTATAGCAGTTATTTAATGCGTATTTGTTCATTGATTGGTTTCTTCAGAACTCTGGTTTCTTATAATAATACGTTTTATACTACATAGCAGATGTGGTCTACTGAAGTTAGATATTTAAGCTTGAATGTTAAGTTTGGCAGCATTAACTCGTTTTTTATTAGTATGTTCTCTAGGCTTTTCCAAGCATTTTTTAAATGCAGTATTTAGACTCTGGTTGTACAATGGACATAATTAAGGCCTAATTGTATTTTAACAAGTGTTACAGTGTTAAGCCTTTTTCAGGTGAATGCAGAACACTGACACAAGAATCATGTGACATATCTCCAGTACTAACTCAGGCAATGGAAGCCCTGCAGGACAGACCTGTCTTATATAAGTGAGTGACTTTTTCCTAATTAATAAAAAAGCAAACCTACTTTTTCTTTGGTAATTTATATACAATAGTTTGAGTGATATAATAATTTACGGTGATATTTTTATCTCATCTGGGTACCATTGGAGCATCAGCCTAATTCTATATTACATGCTGTAAAATGCAACACAGATATGAAAACCAAGATGTCTCAATATCTAGACTACCTCTTATTCATGCAGAGGTTAAGGTCTTTGCTACATTAAAGTCTTTGCTGCATTATGCTATCTCGTTAATTACTTTGAAATTGTATATAACTAAAACTCCTATATTAACACTGCCCTGGAGGGATAGAGATCAAATAGAGTAATAAATAATAATTACCCAGAGATGAAAAAAGAAGATTTAAAATTAGAATTCCATTAGTAGGATTCCAGAAAAGAAAGAGTTCAGGTTTTTAATCCTGTAAGTTACGGCAGCCAGGTGCTATGTGATAATGCTTTGGAAAAGAACTTCACACATTATTAACTTATATATTTTTTATTTTTCTGTGTTTTAGTTTTCTTTTACTTTTCAAGTCCCTTTTTGTCTTCAGTCTTTAAACTTTTTAGTTTGTATTGGGGTATAGTCTTTAAACTTTTTAGTTTGTATTGGGGTATAGCCAATGTTGTGTTAGTTTCAAGTGAACAGGGGAGGGACTCGGCCATACATATACATGTGTCCGTTCTCCCCTAGACCTCCCTCTCATCCAGGTTTGCATATAACATTGAGTAGAGTTCCATGTGCTGTATAGTAGGTCCTTGTTGGTTATTTGTTTTGAATATAGCAATGAGTTCATGACCTTCTCAAACTCCCTAACTACCCCTTTCCCCTCATCAACCACAAGTTCATTTTCTAAGTCTGTGCATCTTTTTGTTTTGTAAGTGAGTTCATCTGTTATCATTTCTTTCTACGTTCCACGTATAAAGATTGTCATATGATATTTCTCCTTCTCCATCTGAGTTACTTCACTCAGTATGACACTCTTTAGGTCCATTCATGTTGCTGCAAACGGCATTATTTCATTCTTTCAATGGCTGAGTAATATTCCATTGTATATATGTACCACACCTTTCTCATCCATTCCTTCAAATCCTTTTTCATTTTTAATGTCTGGGAAATGTCCAGACATATTTCATATTTCATTTTTGAAAATGGGAAGACCAAGTAGGGAGTTCAAATTCAGGAAACAGAAAGCCAGAGAACTCGTGCATTCAGTCCTGCTCTGAGTCATGTCTTTTATATGCTTCTATATTTTTAGAAGATTTCCTTCTTACTCTGTTTTCTGATTAGAACATTACTTGTCCTGTAATAAGATTGTAGAACACAAATGCTGGGACTTGACAGATACCTAGAATAATCACACCCCAGTGCTCCTTACTGAGTACTCACTATATGTTAAGCACAGTTCTAAGTGTGGCAGGCTTACCGTCAATAAAACATTGCCTTCAACTTGCTTTACTTTATGGAACCAGACGTAAACAAATCCACTGTAATGTATACATTAATTGCTTTTCTAAAAGTCAAGTCTCAAGTGCTTTGTGGCTCGAGTAGTCTGGTGGGGAAAGGGGTGTACATTAGAGAACGTTTCCTCCAGGAAGTAGGTATAAAATGAGTTCTGAAGGTTGACAAGCATTTTCCAAGATGAAAAGGGAGGAGAGAACGTCTCGGATTGAGGGGACAGCAGGTGCTAGTGCATGGGTTGAGGAGGAACATGTGCTTTTAGGAACTCGCAGAAACTGGTTGCTGGGTTAGTAGCAGGAGCTGGATCACAATAGATCTCCATGTTGTGTGGGTTCCTGGGATAAGCTGATGCTCATTATTGACCATCAGCTAGCAGATCTTATCATCTTCGAAATTTCTTTCCCAGTTTTTTCACTGTAGGGTATTGGTGTTTGATTATAATTATAGTACCTGAAACATTTGGTGCTTGTTTAATAATGTGTAACAGTGTCCATAGATTAATATTTGTTCACAAGGTTAATTGTTTTTTAAAAAGTCTTTCATGTATTTTGGGCCTCTGAAAAGGTCAGCTGACTTCTACCATATAAATGTATTTTTTCTAAGTTTTGATTCTTGGTCGACACTTGGAAAGGAGCAGTATCACATAATGGTTTAAATGGTGGGCTCTGAGTTAGGCTGTTATTATTTTTAGATTTTAGATTTTCTTGATGAACCCACCTACCTTTATAGGCTTTGGTTTCCTTGAGCTGTGAAATGAGGATAAAAATAGTGCCTCTCTTGCTGGGTTGTTGTGAAGATTAAAATTGGAATGTTCCCATAAGGTGTTGAGCATCATGCTTTACTCATCTCAAAGCATTGAGTATTATTTTTATTTTGAAAGGAGATAAAGTGGAAAATTCTCAGCTAAAGAGAAGTGTATTTGAAGCCTGCCTGACAGCAAGGCAAAATGCCTGAGAGACAATAGAACTAAAATAGGCAAAGAAGATGTATCCTCACAGAACACACGGGATGGGGCCATAGTGCCATGTGGATGGTTAAACACTTGGATGTTGAATGTGGAAGAAAGAGACTTCTAGTGCCAGTTATGTACCATAAGATAACATTGAAAAAAGAGAAAATTGGCCTTTCATCTTAAGTAATCACCTGTTTTCAAAGTGGTGGTTTCTTTATATTTAGGGAAAAACTTTATGATGTATTATGTTAACCACCAGATGGCACTATATGAACTTGATTTAAGTAAAGTAGAGACGCTTCATGGTTCATTCAGTTCAGTTCAGTTCAATCGCTCAGTCGTGTCCAACTCTTTGCGACCCCATGGATCACAGCACGCCAGGCCTCCCTGTCCATCACCAATATTGGGTCTCAAATGTATAGGTATCACATTTAAGAAAACGTCAATTATTGAAGTCTTTGGGGAAAATTGTCATACTCAGGTTTTGTTAGGTCTTATATAACTGGAATGTTAATAATGCATTATTAACTTTTAATACATCAAGTACAGAAATGTTTTCAAAAAGAAATTTACTGCAAGTAGAAATGGACAAATTGATATTGTTTTCTTTCCACTGGTAAACCTTCAACATGTCAATTATTAAAGGATATAGTAATACGTACAATGCTGATTCTTTTTCATTCTTTGTTGCATTTCTTAGAGAGTCTTTTACATTATTCTTTTATCTTTTAATTTTTTTGGGCAAAATTTTTTCATTTTATTTGCTTTTTGACCAGAATTTTTCCTTTTCTACTATGGATAAACATAAAAACTGGGGATTTTGATTTTTTATTTTAACTAGAGTCATTTTAGAATAGTTACATAATTTTAACATTTCACTTTTGTAAAGCTACATTTTCAGTTTTTGACCTGTGTTGGAAAAGAATCTCTTTTTGGTCAAGGAAGTTTTCTTCTGTCTCTGGGAAAAGAGATTTCATGTCTTCAGATATCACTGAAGGTTCATTTTAGCTCATGCCCTTCTTGCTTCAAATTTTATCTATTGCAGGAAAATTAGCATTAATATTAATGTTTGTTTAAATTTTATAGTAAAAAGATTAGATTCTAGTGTTTTTCAGACTTTTAAAATTGCCCCTCCCCACATTTAAAATGCCCGTGGATTCACTGGCTTCTGATAAAACCTGTGGTCACAGTGAATAGTCCTAGAAACAGAAATTACATTGTTTCTGTTTGTTTTGCAGTCATTTGGGTCCCTAGGGGAAGATTAGTTTTACATATTTAAAAAGTTTATGAATTTTGTGCTGTCATAAATCTGATCACAAGTCACTTCATAGAACTGATGGTCTTTAAAGGAAGGCATTCTGTACCCTAAGCATTTATATTTTTAAGAGCATGAGGGAAGAAATAGAAATAAGCACCTTGGTTCTAATTTGTTTAAAAAAACAAAGTGAATGTAAAGCAACTGTGCACTTTTGCAAAACTTAGCTTGATAACTGCATTTACATCTTGACGTATTGCTGGTATGTCACTGCATGGAATTTCAAAACCATTTCCTTTTAACTAAAACCAAAAACCACACACAACCATGATCTGGTTACTGGTACACAGTCCTTTAAAAAGGCTCAGAGTCCTGACAATTTATCGCTATTGATTGCTTCACTACACTTTTATTTAAAAATATCCCCCCTTTCTAGCTTTCTTCTGTTAAAAAAAAAAATGTGGGTTTTTCATTAACTCAAAAGCATATTAAAGAAAGCAGTGTAGCCTAAGAAATTCTTTTGAAAACTTTGGTGAAATTCTTGTAACTTTTCTTTATATCTAGGGTAATGAAATAATTCTCAACATTTAGTAGAGTACTGTTTAGAGATTTAAAAGTTTATGGATCTAGAATCTGCTGACATGGGACTGCGAAAAAATATTTTGTTTTCTTGTGTATGTTTAAAACAGAACTTTCAATTGGTCACCCAGTGCAGACAGTGAGAAACAAAGGCTGCTTCTAGTCAAGGAAACAGGGACTCTTGGTAACTTTAAGCCATCGTATCATTTGACCCCAGATGGTCTGATTTTCCAGTTCAGAATCTTTTTTTCCCTAAAAATTTCCTCAGCCTTGCAAGTCTTCCCCCCCGCCCCCCCACAACTGTAATTGATAACTTGTAAATATGTGTAAAAGAAAGTATTTGCTCTTAATGCATAGCTGGTCAGTAAATTCAAGTAGCATGTAATATGTTTAACACTGGAGTCAAAATAAGCTTTTAAATATGAATGGTATATTTTGGACAAATTTTGGTGGTATACTGTGATAATATACATGAGAATTTTTTAATGTGGAAGGAAAAGTCATATTTTGGATTGCAGGGTTCTAACTATAACCAGCCTCTGAGAACCACATCCTAGGCCTTCTCTGTGCAGTGGAGTGTCATATTTTGGACGCGGGGTGGGTGCTGAAACCTGTAGAGTTCAGGGTTTCCACCTTGTCTGGAGTTTCACTTTTACCAAATCCCCTGCTCTGTCCTTTATTGCCACAACCTCTGTTACTGATTGTAAATCCCTGCATTCCTTCTTAGACATAAAACGATGCACCTTTGGATTGGATTATCACTATGATAAAGTTATTTATTAAATATTTTTTGTTGTTTAAAACAGTATTGCTTGAGAGAATTATGTAAAAAAAGGCATTAGATAGCTTATCTGAGAAAGTGCATGAATAATTTGATACAGTCACTAGAAAGAAAAACAATTGTGTGTTAATAACTTGTCTCTTCTAGGTATACCTTAGATGAGTTTGGAACAGCCAGAAGAAGTACAGTGGTTCGTGGATTCATTGATGCTCTTACAAGAGGGGGCCCAGGAGGTACCCCTAGACCCATTGAAATGCACTCCCATGACCCTTTGAGGTATAGTAGCAGACAGTATTGGGGTATTCAGTGTTTTTCTGAAGGAAATCTTCACTAACGTTTAGTTTTTTTATTAGATACGTAGGAGATATGTTGGCTTGGCTCCATCAAGCTACTGCTTCTGAAAAAGAACACCTTGAAGCTCTTTTGAAGCATGTAACTACACAAGGTGGGTCACCCGGCGGTTCCTGCTCATCTGAGATGTAGCACATCACGCAGAACATTTCTGTTGCTGTTCTCGTTGCTGTTTTCTTCATGGAGATAACCTCTTCACACTAGGTGATTCAGTAAGCGTCCATTAGTCAGTCTTTCTCTAGTTTCCCATTTTCCCGCTGATTCTTCTCCATCACTTTGATTTTGTGACACAGCTGATGGCATTTCTATACTGGGCCTTTGGGGCCTTCCCTAGTAAACCAGGACCCCTCTGCTCCCCTCTCCAGGTGTCTCTGGAGTGCCTGATGGACGTTGTTTCAGATCTTGTATGGCGCTGTCTTCTAAAGGCAAAAGGGGATGTCGTCTCCGTTTTGTTTACACACACACAGGCTTGGGGACTTTTCTTAAGGTCATGAAGCTCCTGCTTCTTTCTTTTCTGTTAATTCTACTCAGCCCCTTTTTTCATTCTCATGTGACTGTTTCAGAATTGTTTTGTGATAGAAGGGGTCAGTGGATAATTAAGATGTTCTGGATTTGATAGGAAGGGAAGGGACGTGTTGTGGGGGGTGTCACTTACCTGTCTTGCATGGTGTGGCCCCACATCATGCTGGTTCATCAGGTCATCTTCCAGGAGAGGCCGGTGTGCAAATGGGTGCAAGACTCAACCTCCTCATTAATACTGAGACTAGATTCAGCATCTGTGATAGATTGGCACGCAGTCTGCACTGTTAAAGTTGTTTTCTGTTATCCTAATAACCCCGTTTAGAAGAATTTATTCCCTCAAAGCTGTTAGTAGAGTATACATTGAGAGGCCACATTAAGAGGCAGGAAGAAAATAATTGGAGTTAGAAATGGGTTCTTCTGTGGGAATGGCATGAATTCTTCTAAACTTCAGTTTCTCCATCTGTGAAAATGAAGGTGGTTACAAGCTGTACGTGTCCAAGTACACGGTACAGACCTTGATAAGTGGTCAGAAATTAGTAAATGTCAGTTTTTCCATTAAATTGTAAGGTGTGTTTTCCATCTTATACCTGCAGTTTGTGCGCTTAGTACATCTGCCTAGAATAAGGAGTTTGTGGAACAGAGCCTAATACATCTACTCATCACCTCCTTCAGTTAATTAATTTCACAGTCTTTTTTCATTAATCAGCAGTCAAATGAATTGATAGAGCTTTAGGTTCAGATATTAATATAGTTAGTAATGTCCTAAAAGATACTGAACTTAATAAAATACCATTAATGGTTATTTTAAATGTTTATCATTAATGCCATTAATCACAGGTATTAGTGTTTGTTGATTTTTTGTACTTCTGTGAAGCAGTGCAATATGAAAAAAATTTCATTTATGTTATAATTAACCGTAGGTGTTGAAGAAAATATTCAAGAAGTTGTTGGCCATATCACTGAGGGTGTGTGCAGGCCTCTAAAGGTAAAATACTTTGTATACATTATATAAAATATTTTATATATGTTATATGGTTAAATTGTTGCCTTATTTGGAGTTTAAAGAAATAGCAACTTGACTTCAAGCTGTAATTTTGTCAAATTAACACATTAATGTCGGATAATAAAATGCATTTTAAAATAATCATTGCCAATTTTCTATGCAAGGTTTTTGTATACTATTACATGTATTTATAATGTAAAATATTTTAGCAGATCATATTCATTGGTATTACGACATACTCCAAAATCTAAATGCTTTCAAAAATGTTTATTGAACATCTCCTGCAAATGTATTATTCTGCTAAGTGCTGCAGATATGTAAAAGGACTAGAAAATACAATGTCTGTGTTTCGAATCTAATTAGAAAACAAGAAGACATAATGTTATCTGCAGCTTAAGCATAGATGTAGTGTAATATATAAGTAAGCACATTCAGTGTAGTTTAAATTGTATTTGTTAGTTAGGGAAAGATTAGTGAAGGATGGATTTTAATTAGAAAGATTCCCAGTAGTTAATCTTGAGCATTTCAAGTTAATTTTGAACTAGATCTGAGATGCTGCCTTGGTAGTATTATAATTAGACAAATACGTTGGAGCCAACTCAAGATCCACCTGCTTTCCTGTTCTCTAATTAATATTAAAAGAAACTTGGTTTGGTTGTTTAAAGGTAAAACTGTTGTCATTTTCTCCCCATACTATCGGTTCACAGCTGCTGCTGCTGCTGACACTTCAGTCAGAGCTGTACCTTTTTACTGATGATTTTAGGCGTGTAACAGCTGCTTTGCCGTTTAGTGCTGAGCTAAACTCCATTGTGTGCTGGTTAAAAAACCTCACGATGATCTCACTGTATTGATTATTTCTGATAGCAATTGTCTTGAGCCAAATTCTATAGGTAATAGATCGTTTGTTCATAGAGTATATCTCTGTTAAATTTTTTGTGTTTTATCATCCTCTGATGTAATACTCAGATATTACTTATTTAGAAGGAAGTTTGTGATTTCTGTAATCATGAAATTTAATCTCTTTAATGCTGTTCACACCACATGTGATTAATGAAAAAAATGTTACACTTTTAATTTTTTGTCACATATTTTAATAGGTTCGAATTGAACAAGTAATAGTTGCTGAACCTGGGGCAGTTTTATTATATAAAATTTCTAACCTCCTCAAATTTTACCACCACACAATCAGGTAAGTGGAATGGTTAAATGTGCTTATTAAATCCCATGTCATACTTCATCTCAGTTAGAACACAGTGTAGTATTTGTGTGTGTGTGTATTCTATTTGTCGACTAAGAATAAACTGGTAGAACCTCCACACCATGTGAGTCATTATTTGTGTATTATACATGATGTAGTTTGAGGTTCGTTATTTCCTTTTCCCTTTCTTTTCCAGGCGTAACTGTACACACACAAACACAGATTTTTTACACACAGCTTATGTAGCAGTATAAGTCTATAATAGAAGTATTTTTTGAGTCCTTCTGTATTTGAGATCCATGGCACTTAAAGCAAGTCTAATATTATACTCAGAACAGGGCATAATTAGTAAAATGTCCTATTCTGGATGTAAATAACATAAATTCGTCTTTAACATTTAGTTTTCCATTAGTGGTAAAACAGAACCATAGCTTTATCTTCTCTAAGTAATATTAATAGCTATCTTATCTTCTCTAAATTAAAGTGACTTTATCTGATTAGGAACCACTTGTCTTATCTAGGAACCACTTGTCTTATCTAAAATATAATCTTTGACTCCAAAATTTGCATTCATTTTCACCATGCATATATCTTTTGACAGCATACGTACACTTGAGCCCTATTGTAAATGTCACTCACTGTAAGACCATGTTATATGTGAGTTGTGGTAAAACAATGGTGTTCCAAGCTATATTTTTGATAGTCTATTAAAAATTTTAGATGACTTTTTACAAGCATGCCAGTATCAGGAATAGAAGAATCACTTTCAGTACATGAATAGGAGAATAAAATTGGAAATTGTTTTATATACATGGTTGTGTTACATTCTGCAAAAAATGAGAAACCCCACTGGACAAGTCTTAAGAAATATCCTTGTAGAAAATTGAGAATTATAGGATGTACAGTAGTTATTTTAAAATGTTGCCAAATTTTTCATAATTAGTTTAAATATACTTTTTTGGCAGCTGTATAATCATAATACTTTATAATTTGCAGATGTGTTTCTGATACGACATAAGTTTTAATTAAAAAAGCTCAGTATTAATAATATTTTCTCCATAGAGCTACTGATGGAATGACTTCCTTTAAATTAAAATCAGATTTTCTTAGATAATCAAAACATACATTTACTGTAATAGCAGAAAAATAGCCACATGGATTTGCATGCTATAAGGGTTTAGTCTAATCCACTGCTTTTCTAAGAGATTATGAGATATTGAAAACACTGTAGTTTGCTTTCATTTGTTCGTCACCTAACCTAAAAGAAAAAAAAAACTCATTTCTGTATGAAACTAGAGTAATTGTTTTAATTCACAGGTTATATTCTATATAAAAACTTTTATTTAAATCTGGATCTTTTAAAAGAATTCTACCCAGTTATAGAGCTAAATTGTTTAGGCCTGCTTTGCAACCAGAAATCTTCTTTGCTTTTAGTGGCATTATTGGAAATAGTGCAACTACATTGTTGACTACCATTGAAGAAATGCATGTGCTGAGCAAAAAAATATTCTTCAACAGCTTAAGTCTTCATGCCAGTAAGTTAATGGACAAGGTATGTTTGAAAAATGCAGTTCTTATACTGTGTGAGTCTTTCACATTTAAAAATGCTGTTTTATTGTTTTTACACTGGTGAGTTTTTTTCCCATTTCATTTAGTGTTCTCTTGAGTTCTTCCTATGAACAAGAAAATTCATTTTGGGGTGGCTTACTGGATGTAGGCTTAAAGTCTGTTCCTGGAGCAGTATAACATCGAGTCATAGTTGGAAGTAGAATCTCAAAGCCCTAGTTTTACTACCATTTTTCAATAACCCACAATTTGTAATTAAAGCAGATTTTCTATATTTAATAGGTCAGGACTAAAATGACATACAGATTGAAAAACTGGAACTTTAAGTAAATACTTTTTCTAAACAGCTGGCATATATTTTTACACTGGTGGTCTAGCTTTTTCCTAACGGAATTTATATTCCTTTGAGTTACATACTGCAATTATGAAGCAAGATAATAAAATATTCCATAAAAGCAAAGAAAAAAAACGAAATAACAAAAACCTGCAAGAGTTCTGTGAGAGCTAGTATTTTACATTGAGCATTGTGTTGTGCAAAAGTAAATTGGTGAGACTTTAAGGAATGGGTTTATAACCGTCAGATCCTTCTTTGTCTTTGTTTCATTATTAAGGACTCAGGTTTTTCAGGGATGTATCACAATCACCATTTTTGTTTTAAATTATGCTGCTCTGTCCAATATCCTAGTTATATTAGACACAGGTTTGTAGTATGGTGTTGAGCAGTCAGTAGCAATCCAGTTCAGAGGCCCTGGATTTTACATTCCTAAGCTCAGGGAAACCTTAAGAGTCTACTGTCTGACCCTAACACAGGTTTCAGATTTTCTGGAAAAGCAGCATGCATTCGTGGAGATGAAGTATTTCACGTATGTGTTTTCCTGTATCACCAGAAGTTTAGTAACAGGCAGTCAGTTCTTGTTTTAGATACAGTTATATAAGTTATTATTTAGACACAATTTTTCTAAAATCATTTCATCCATGATACAAACTTTGAATGTTGCTTTCTAATGAGAGCACAAGAGCAAACAGTGAAGATCTGTTGGTCTCAGATTACTCTTCCATTCATGGAAAATAGTCTGATAAATCAGTGCTTACTGTAGAATCATGTGTTTTATGGAAGATGTACGCAGTGTGCTATGCTAGCACATGAAGGAGAGATTAATTTAGCTCAGTCACTTAGTCATGTCCAACTCTTGGACTGCACAGACTATAGCACGCCAGGCCTCCCTGTCCATCACCAACTCGGAGCTTGCTCAAACTCATGTCCATTGGGTTGGTGATGCCATCCAACTATCTCATCCTCTGTCGTCCCCTTCTTCTCCTGCCTTCAGTCTTTCCCAGCATCAGGGTTTTTTCCCAATGAGTCAGTTCTTCGCATCAGGTGGCCAGAGTATTGGAGTTTCAGCTTCAGCATCAGTGCTTTCAATGAATATTCAGGACTGATTTCTTTCAGGATTGACTAGTTTGATCTCTTTAAGGTCCAAGGGATTCTCAAGAGTCTTCTGCAACAGCACAGTTTAAAAGCATCAATTCTTCGGCACTCAGCTTTCTTTCCAGTCCAACTCTCACATCCATACATGACTACTGGAAAAACCAAAGCTTTGACGAGATGGACCTTTGTTGTCAAAGTAATGTCTCTGCTTTTTAATATACTGTCTAGGTTTATCATAGCTTTCCTATAATAGCTTTTAATTAAAAGGAGCAAGCATCTTTTAATTTCATGGCTGCAGTCCCCATCTGCAGTGATTTTGGAGCCTCCAAAAAATAAAAGTCTCTCATTGTTTCCATTGTTTTCCCATCTATTTGCTGTGAAATGATGGGACTGGATGCCATGATCTTAGTTTTTTGAATGCTGAGTTTTAAGCCAACGTTTTAACTCTCCTCTTTCACTTTCATCAAGAGGCTCTTTAGTTCCTCTTCGTTTTCTGCCATAAGGGTGGTGTCATCTGCATACCTGAGATTATTGATATTTCTCCCTGCAATATTGATTCTAGCTTGTGCTTCATCCAGCCCAGCATTTCACATGATATACTCTGCATGTAAGTTAAATAAGCAGGGTGACAATATACAGCCTTGATGTACCCCCTTTCCTGATTTGGAATCAGTCTGTTGTTCCATGTCCAGTACTAACTGTTGCTTCTTGGCTTGCATACAGATTTCTCAGGAGGCATGTAAGATGGTCTGGTATTCCCATCTCTTTTAGAATTTTCCACAGTTTGTTGTGATCCACACAGTCAAAGGCTTTGGCATAGTCAATAAAGCAGAAATAGATGTTTTTCTGGAACTCTCTTGCTTTTTTGATGATCCAACAGATGTTGGCAATTTAATCTCTGGTTCCTCTGCCTTTTCTAAATCTGGCTTGAACATCTGGAAGTTCACAGTTCATGTACTGTTGAAGCCTGGCTTGGAGAATTTTGAGCATTACTTTGCTAGCGTGTGAAATAAGTACAGTTGTACATTTGTTTGAACATTCTTTAGCTTTGTCTTTCTTTGGGATTGGATTGAAAACTGACTTTCTCCAGTCCTGTGGCCACTGCTGAGTTTTCCAAATTTGCTGACACATTGAGTGCAGCACTTTCATAGCATCATCTTTTAGGACTTGAAAGAGCTAAATTGGAATTCCATTACTTCCACTATCTTTATTCATAGTGAGGCTTCCTAAGGCCCATGTGACTTCACGTTCCAGGATGTCTGGCTCTAGGTGAGTGATCACACCATCATGGTTATCTGGGTCATGAAGATCTTTTTTGTATGGTGGTTCTATGTATTCTTGCCATCTCTTTTTAATATCTTCTGCTTCTGTTAGATCCATACCACTTCTGTCCTTTATTGTGCCTGTCTTGCTTGAAATGTTCCCTTGGTCTCTCTCATTTTCTTGAAGAGATCTCTGGTCTTTCCCATTCTGTGTATTCCTCTATTTCTTTGCATTGATCACGAGGAAGGCTTTCTTAACCTCTCTTTGCTAGTCCTTGGAACTCTGCATTCAAATGGATATATCTTTCCTTTTCTCCTTTGCCTTTAGAGGAGGAGTATATGTGTCCATAATAATATACAGAGGGGGAGCTTTCCAGAGAGGGAGTTACAAGAGTTGAACTTTGAAGGACGTAGGGGATTAGATAGGTGAAAAGGAGGGTGGGTAGAGGTCATCCTAAATACAGGAAACAAAAAGAATATGTAACTCTTTGTTTAAGAGACAGGATGGAATGTAGACAGAGAGGTGACTGCAGACAGGGTGGTGAAGGGATTATCATTGAAGTAGTTTTTATGAAAATACATACTCTAAGGGAAGAGCCATAAGGGGATAGATTCTTGAAGGGTAAAGGTAAGTCTTCAAAAGTTGGTTTCTGATAGAATGTGGTTAAATCAGAGGAAAGAGTTCTAAAATAGTTCCCAAGTTCCCAACCTGGGAATATTGATACTAATTGCAAGTATCTGGAATAAAGAGAAAGTGCAAAATCTAGGGAATAAGATGACGATATTATCTAAATTAGACAAGACACACGTGGGGTATCCTTCTATGGTCAGTCTCACCCAGCAGGGAGCCGTGCATTTGGGTTTACGGGGTTTTGTGTGTAAAGAGCTGAATCCATGGTTTGTATGAGGTCACCAGGAATCATGTTTAATGGGAGTAGGGCTTCTAGGACACAGTCTTGAGAAACAGTGACATTTAAGAGAAGAAGGTAAGCCCAGCGATGGTGGGATTCTGAAGAAGCTTGGAGAGGCAGGAGAGAAATGAGAAAAGGATTTTATCAGAAAAGCCAGGAGAATAGAGGTGAAAGCATGGTTGGTGGCACATACTATAGGAAGAGTTCTATTAAAAAAGAGACAGCACGTTTTGTTATCTTTGTCAATATGTAGGTGATACATGACTTACTGAGGACAATTTTATTCATGTGGTGGGGGCAAGAGCCAGATTGCAATATGGGAAAAGTACACAAGCATATTACCCAAAGCTTTACTAATTGGAAAACATAGGAACTAAGAAAAACTAAAAGTAAAATGTAGGAGGCATTCTTATTGTGAAATCTGAAAAGAATAATAAAGCAGAATGGTAAAAGGAAAAATGAAAGTACATTTCTACAATCAATTAGAAAACAGAAAAACAAAATTGATTATTTGTTGAAAAGATCAACAAAATTGACAACCTTCTAGCAATTCTTTAAGCAGTGACAAAATTTAAAATTATAATATCAGAATTGGAGGTAACAACCAAAGAGGAGGATTAAAACTTATTAGATATTTAATTGTTGAGGGAAAATATTAGTAAATGAGGAAGTAGAGTACTTCCTTTACCATATAAAGATTAATAAAATGAACAGCCAATATGATTAACATAGAAGAACTAGTATTAATATTTCTAAGTCAAACAAGAATACTTGCCAAGAACTGCTTATTTAAATACCAGTCCAGATAAAGCAATGAGAGAGACAAACATTTTAAAGGAAGAAATAGGGGATTATTTGTGAGTGCTCTGATTGTACTTCAAAAACCCAAGAAATACAATTGATGACAAGATCAATATACAAGGATAAATAATTTTCGGGGAATTTGGCAACGTAGAAATCTGGCAACCAGGGAATTTGGCAACCAGGAATCTGTCTTTACACCTTAGACAACTGCACTAGCAGAATTTGTCTAGTGTAACTCTTTCAGAACTCTGGAGTCTATTGAAGAATTGCACGTTCTAGGGGAAGGCTTGAACTGTAAATTGCAGTCAGTTTTGGTCAGCTTCAACTCTTAGCACGCTTGCAGCTGCCCATCTCCCACCCCCAGGGCTGTGGTGGCAGCTGTGCACTTTTGTTCCCTGAGTGCCTTGCACACAGCTTGTCGAGCCAGGGTGGACAAAAAGGACCCTGGCCTCCGTACCTCTGGGATCTGTGCTGTCATCCCAGAGTTGTGAAGAGGAGGGTGGCCACTGTTTCTACACCTCCGTGTTGTGACGGACACCTCCTCCTAAATTAGTCAGTTGGCTAAATTGACTTCCTGGTGATTTCAAAGGTTAGTGCATTTTTTCTACCCCCCTTAATATTTTTTCTTTTACCCATGATGGGAGTCAGACATTAAAAACATTCAAAAGCAACTGTACATACAAGGAAAAGTAAGAAGTAACCACATGTTCAGGGGAAGGAGCAGGCTCAGAAAGACCTGAGAACTTTGGTTTACACCACAGCCTGATCCTTGGCACAGAGAGAGCCTACAGCAAGTAAAAAAAAAAATAGTAACAAGAAATGGCACCCCCTGGAGAAGGGGGAGAATTTATTTCCAGGGTTAACAAATGCTGTTTTCAGCAAAAAATCACAAGGCACACAAACAGGGAAATGTGGCCCATTCAAAGAAAATACCTTCCTGCAAAAGACTGGATGGCACATCTACCAGCCAAAGACTTTAGAACAGGTATGTTAAACATGAGTCAAGAGAACAGTGTGTGGACAAAATGGAAATAACTGCCAGGAGTTAGAGAATCTCAAAAAGAAATTCTGGAGTTGAAAAGTATAATAACTAGCAAATCAAATGAAGTCCTTAGAAAAGATTATACGGCCTGACCAACTGGATTGCAGGGATAGTTCAACAAGTGAAAGTCAGTCATTATAATTACCACATGGATTGTTTTTTCAAGTCCTTTGCCCTTTTCTTACTAAGTTGTATCTTATTCTTGTTATTTTCTGATATTTTTATACATTATTAATATTAAGTGTCATATATTACAGATCTTTTCTCCGTGTCATCATTTACGTTTTGATTTTGCCTGTAGTATATTCTGATACATCCCTTTTAATGTTTACACAGTAAAATCTAACCTTTTTTTCCTCTATTTTTTCACCTTTGGGAACTTGCTATAAAATGTACCACTGCAAAATAAATGCTTAAAACTGAAAAAAAAAAAGTACTTCAAAAACTTTCCCACATCAAGAAAATATATATAGAATTTATTATATGCTAAAGTCAATATCTATTAGTGGGAAAGTGTTAGATTATTTAATAAATTTATATAAATGTGTGTTCTTAGATCTTTCTGTAATTTCACTTTTATGTTGAATTTTTAATCTACATAAAGTTTATTTTTGTCCATGCGGGGAAGGAAGGGTCACACTTATTTTTCTCAAATGGTTATCCATTTATTTTGTTTTATTTTCATTCAAAAAACCCACTAAGTTTTTAAATACTGTATTCCTCTTATAAAGTTAAAATAAAAGTTGCAGGAAAATACAATGGTTAATGAAAGGTAAATTTTAAGTGTGGCGTCTTCCAGCTAAATTCTAGAACAGAATAGGATAAAAACAGGGAAAGAAAGAATTGTAATTTGAATGTATTAAGTACCAATTAATACTGCAGCCTATGTGAGATTAGGTGAATGGGTTTTGACTTACTATTATTTATTGTTATTATCAATAATTATGCCCTGAAATGTTTTTCTTAGATATGAATTGGGTAATATTTAGGGATATTTTAACATTACGTTGAGATTGGAATATGATATTGTTTATAGCTCATGTGTTACTTATATGTACACAACCATTTCAGGTTTCTTTCAGAAAATCTTTCTCCAAATTTTAATGTTCCATATTTTATGTTAAGTATATTATCATCTTATTCTGCCTCTTATAAACCATTCATCTCTTCCAAGAAGATTATAGCCTTATTAGGAAAACACATATTGCAGAATGGTCTTCACTACCAAAGCACTCAGTTTTTGTTAATAGAATTTTAAAGTGGATTATAAAATTGTTAGGAAGAATAGCTTTTAAAATAAAGGTATAGCCAGAAACAGACTCTTTTATGATTCCTTCTTTGCTTTTAAAAAGACACATTTGGGAGCTACTTCTTTATCTGGTATGCTAAAGGAAAATTCAAGGACATTATTTTATTGAAAGATGTACCTTTTCCCTAACAAAGTGTTTGAAGCACTTTAGTAGTCAATTATGTGTACTCCCTTGTTTATCAGGCTCTCCTGAAACATTCTAGCTGTGCATCTAGCAAAATCTAAAGGGTCCCCTAAAAGATACAATGTCATATCAGTTTTAGCTAGAGATACATTTTCTGAAAAGTTCTTTTCACTATAGTAATACAATACTAATTTAAAGGGTATGTTTTATCATAAATGAAACCCATATCAAATTAATAGTAAGCAGGGTTGATTTGCCTAGCACTCTGCAAAGAAAATCTAAATGGTCTTTTAATTTTGATTTAAATTGTTGGATATCACTCCTGTCTAGAATGTCTTTTTACTGTTCAAATTGTAGTTCTTGGAGGAGCAGCTTGGGCATCACCTCGGAGTTTATAAATTTAGCTGAGATGAAGAACCTCAGGCACCTGAGATTAAGATTCAGATCTGCTGAATCAGAATGTGCATTTAACCAGATTCCCTGGTCGTTTGTTTGCTTCTTAAAGTTTGAAAAGTGCTTTTTTAGAGGATTACTTCAAGTTTTACATTATTCCTTGCAGATTATTCTGCCAGGAAAAACAAAACAATGTTTTCAGCTAAAATGCTTTTTAAATTTTAAATAAAAGTATGTGAAAAAGTTGTAATTTTTTTTACATTTCAAACATTAACTTGCACTCTTAAATTTCTTTTGAATAATTTTACTGACTTAAAATTGTAATTCCATAAATAAGTAAGGTAAGAGGAAACTTTCAGAGGAAATGGTTGTGGTATAGAACGTGGTGATGGTTTCAATGTATGTCACTGAGAGGGGCCTCATGTGCCCACAGGGCCGGAAAGCCAAACTCGGACCGTGGGTGTTTGGAGCGAAGTAAGGGTTTATTTGCAGAGTGCCAAGCCAGGAGAAGGGGCAGCTAATGCTCAAAAGATGGAAATTCCTCGATGGCTTTCAGGAAGGGTTATTAAAGACAGGGTTAGGGGAAAGGATCTTAGGATATGTGACCAGTTTGTGGACCTTCTGATTGGTGATTGGTAATTGATCACCTTATTGGTGATAAGGTAACAGGGTGATGTTCTGGGAATCTTAACCTGCTGGTTCCAGCAGGGGTCTATGTGTTTGTGATCAGCATGTCATCACCGTTCTCTGCCCAGATGGGGGTCTTACTTTCTCCGGAACAACTCATAGTATGCATCAGATTGTTATCTGTATCTTTTCAGGAGGAACTAGAAATCCTGTGTTTGTTGTCCTAATCATAACCCGTTTGCTCCTGCTCTTCGGAACTCAGAAAAGGCGTAGGAGACTAAAACCTTCTGTTCCACAAACAGGAAATGGGGGACACAGAGGGGCTTTTGTACCTGGGAATGTCCTTTAGGGTCCTGCGTGGTTTCAGTCTCTCCTTTTCTTTGATACTCTTTAGTCCTGAGGAGAGCACGGGCAGGACAAGAAAGGGAGTCTGGTTTTAGATATGAGATTACTGATAAGCTCAGTGAGGGAACTCAGTTTTAGGGGACTTGGTTTCAAGTATACAGACCCTGAGCCTGTACATATTGAGCCACAGTATCTGAGACTGGGGCCTGACGGGGGGTGGTGACTCTCTGTTATAGTTGGGGAGGTGCTGATCTCTCTCTGAATTACTTTTTTCTTAAGGCTTGGGCTAAACAAGATAGGCCGTTTCAAATCCATGTGAAAATATAATCCTAAATTCAAAGACTACGAAGTCTTTCCTCACAGTTTTTTGTATTTTAAAAGCACAAATTCTATACCTCTGATATATTAATTCTGAGATAATCTAACAAAAACTTTTGTGTCACTTTCTGTGATTTTCATTAGTACAATAGAGAATAAACAATTGATAGATTTTGTAATGTGTCAGCCAGTGCTTTATGTCTTTCATATGAATGATTTTACTGTGAACTGGCATTTATTTAGACACTAAAATTTAGTAGAAAAATATAAGCCGTGTATAGATCTTCCTTTATTTTAGGTTGAACTCCCACCACCTGATCTTGGACCAAGCTCTGCCTTAAATCAGACGCTCGTGTTGCTGCGTGAAGTTCTGGCATCTCATGATTCTTCAGTCGTGCCATTAGATGCCCGTCAAGCTGACTTTGTGCAGGTGAGTTGTAAATTCACCCTTCAGCACTCTTATTGCTCCTCTAGTGTACATCCTGTTGAAATTCTGGCGTTTTGTAACCCATTTATCTTGATACCCCTTCTCAGTGTTTTTTCCTTCAAATATTAAACCATTTGCCATTAATTTAAAAAGTAATATATGTTCAGTGATGCTTGTTCTAAGAGTTACGATTTTTATACCATTTAATCTCTTTCATGTGTGCTTCTGTAAGTTGGTCCCCTCCTCTTTAGTTTGGCGTTCACTCTGAAGTGCCGTCAACGCAGACCTGTGTCACTGGTACGGAGATGAAGGATCTGTTTAATTCTATTTCTCATTTTAGGTTTTATCATGTGTCTTGGATCCTCTCCTCCAGATGTGTACTGTATCAGCCAGCCATTTGGGCACAGCTGACATGGCCACTTTCATGGTCAATTCACTATATATGATGAAGACGACATTAGCTCTCTTTGAATTCACTGACAGACGTCTGGAAATGCTGCAGTTCCAGGTTAATTTTGCCATAACATGACTGCTCACTGTGATGAAATCTTTTTCCATACATGATCTCAGTTACTGGCTGTAAGCCAACTTCAGTGACCTGATTTCTCTGAATCCCTTGTTATAGTCTGATAATACCTACCTTCCCCCCAGGCATATTCAGTATTTTAGTTTTGGGAGAAGCCAGGGTATGTAATGAGTAGGATATTTTATTCAAATCATAGTACATGGTGGTAGAATGGAGCTTTTCTGACTAATTTGAACTGTTATCCTGTATGCAGATTTCAGTTTCCGAACTGTGAATAGCGTGCTATATTTTTCGAGCTGCGGAGCTTGTGCGGAAGGTGTTGCAAAGGACAGATACATTTTTGTCTATGTGTAAATCAGTGTTAGGCACAACATTACAATTTGTTAAACCAACCATGCTAGTCCTTAAGCCAAATGGTCTCACTTAAGAGTCACAACAATGCCATTTATAAAATTTACCAGACACTTGACTTCTGAGTTTGAAATAGTGATTTGGTAGATAAAAATGTTTAAAAAAAACCAACAAAACTCTGAATCTTCTTTATTATCACAAGAATATAAACAGTTGGCAATGGCTGCAGTAAAAATGTATTGTTTTTGGTTTTTCCAAGGAATTAGTTTTGAGACCTCTAAATTCATGATATTTCCTGCTGTCAAATCCTTTCTTTTTTCTTCTCTCTCTCTCTTTTTTTTTTTTTTTACAAAATATGAAGTATGATTAATTTTTCTTTCTTCCCGAATTGTTTATGTATAATTAGTAAAAATCTTTTTAAAAAATTCATTGGTTTTTAATGTATTTATCACTAATTCAACCCCAAACTGCCGTTTGTCTTAAATCTATTCCCGAAATGTGCAGATAGGTATCAGTTGTCCAACAATCTGTTTTATCACTAGCTATCCTTGTTTCTTAAATATCTCAGAGTTATTTTTGCATCCCCAGAGGACACACCCCACCATGTAAGTGCTTATTAGGTCTACATCATGCTTGCTGTTGGGCTGGTGGTGCTGGTCTCATGGACCAGCCCAGAGTCAGTGTGGAAGGACTGGGCAATGGTGTGGCTGCTTGCTGGGCGGTGTGCTCCTGCAGTAATGGTTTTCCTTGTTTATTAAAGGATTCTTGATTTTCAGATATCTTCTATCAATAGCCTGGTAATTTTCTTCCATTCTTAAACTTCTTCCAGTGTTCTAAGTAAGAAATCCAGGCTAGTCTGATTCTCTTTAGTTTTGCAATAAACCTGTTTTATTCGTGTGGAAGCTTATAAGGATTTTCCTTTGAGTTCAGATATTTCCTCAGGATATTTTTTAGTATGTCTCTTTTTTTGTTGCTTCCATTTTGGACTTTGCAGAGCCATTTCAGTCTGGAGATTCAACCTTTTTTTTTTTTTTTTTGCTCAAGAAAGTTTTCTGTTATCTTTAATTAATTATCACTTCTCCATCTGTTACTTTTTATATTCTGAATATAAAAAGCTTCTGTCCTTAGTTGGCTTTATCTCCTGAATTTGTCTTTTAATTTCTGTTTAAACCTCTTCACTTTAATATATTTCTTTGATATTTATTCTGTATTACTATTCTTCCATTTTTCTTTCAGACACAAATTTGGTTCTTAGTGGTAACTCTTTCATTCAATATTTATATTTGCAATCTTATTTTTCTTGGATTTTCAAAGAGACTAGTAACTAGTAAGTAAAGTTTCTAAGGTTCTAATTGTACTTTCTTGAGCATTCACTTGAAAAAAATTAAAGTGCCCTGTGTCTTTCAATATACATGTGTTAGTTGCTCAGTCATGTGACTTTTTACAACTCCATGGGCTGTATCCCACCAGGCCCCTCTGTCCATGGCATTTTCCAGGTACTGGAGTGGGTTACCATTCCCTTCTCCAGGATATCTTCCCAACCTCGGGATCGAAGCCGGGTGTCCTGCATTGCAGGTGGGTTGTTTGCTGTCTGAGCTACCTGTGTTACCACAAGAAAAGGCATTTGTCTCCATTACTCTGGTGGCTTTCCTCTTAGAACCTATCACCTGTTTTAAACCAGTTGTAAGTTTTTAAGGGGAGGGCCTCAGATACTGTAGAGGCTTGGACAATGGCAAGCATCCAGGTGGGAACATCATCTGTTAATGGTGAACTGTGTCAGTGGTAAACAGGTTGATAGCAGGGAGAGCTCCAGGCTTTCAGACCTGTACTGGTAAAGGGAAGGAATTCCCTTCCTGGAAATTTGTCATCCCACCAGGCAGTCTCCTCCTGTGACTTCTGCCCCCATTGCTTGTAGGTAGCTTCCCCAAGAACAGCACAAAGCAGGTGAGCACATACAACTCGCATCTGCCAGCATAGTCTTTGTAGGCAGCCTGCACCTGACGTCTCTGACTAGTCTGCTGCTGGGTCCTCAACCATCCCCTAGTTGTCCCAGGTCTGCTTTCTTCAGGAGAACTTAGAGCTTCAGCCCCTGTGGGATGTCCTCCGGGCCTCTCCAGATGGCATGTCTGATTGGCTGAGTCAGTCCAGTAAGTTGAGAGCATGAGGCAGTGTGGATGTGAGGAACAAGTCCTCATCCTCCCGGAACTCTTCCCAAGTATTTTATTTTACGTTGTTGTTGACGAGTAGTTTTTGTTTGTTTGCGTCATACCAGCTTTTAAAAGAGCTAAGAAGCAACTCAGATTTTTTTGACTAGTGGCTAGTCCTGGAATCCTCAAAAAAGACTTTCTTCCCATTTGTGAGAAGACTTCCTCTTTGAGGAAGGAACCGTCTTTGTATAAGAGCAGTCCCTGCGCCTCAGCAAGGAGCGCGATGGAGAGCTGAGAGTCCAGGCTCGTCTCCTACTCTCATCAGTCCTCTTCTTCTTTAAAATGTTTTCTTTTACCTGTGTTTTATTTTAGATTGAAGCACATTTGGACACACTTATAAACGAGCAAGCTTCTTACGTTTTAACCAGAGCAGGCTTGAGTTATATCTATAACACGGTACAGCAACATAAAGCTGAACAGGTAAGCACGTGGCTGTTTCTGACTAGAGAGAAACACTGGTTTAGACTGTGTCTTCTAGAGCTAGACTCATTAGAATCTTGGCTCTGCCACTTAATCGCAATTTCTCACTGGGAAAGTGACTTGTCTCTGTTTCCTCATTTGTAAATTGAGGGTACTAATATCTGTAACATAGGGTTATTCTGATGATTAACTGAGATAACGCCTGTGTAGTGCTCAAATGACTACCTGAAATATAGTAGAGTGTGGGGAGGGAGGTGGGAAGGGGGGATCAGGATGGGGAACACATGTAAAGCCATGGCTGTTTCATATCAATGTATGACAAAAACCACTGCAATATTGTAAAGTAATTAACCTCCAACTAATATAAATAAATGAAAAAAAAAAATAGTAAAGTGTCCCCAAATGTTAACTGTCCTTTTCACTATAGATGGTAATACAATGGTAAATTTTTCAGAGTCCTTTATCACCATCAACTAACTGAATGCATAGATTACTATATATAAATAGCAGTCATTCCCCCCTTTAATTTAGCAGATCATGGTCTATTATTTGGAAAGGTAAATACTTCTGGGGCTAGCATCTGATCTTGTTCAGTTATGGAACTCCAGTAGAATTAGAACACAGAGTGGGAGAGAAGCCTAGGAAACCATGTAAGCATCTTTCTTGAAAAAGCAAAAAGCTCTTTTAAATAATATTAAGATGAAAAATATTTTATAGCCCAGGAACTCTTTTAAGTGACACTCTCAAAGATCACAGGTTTGAATTTTTTCTTTCGATAAGGTAATAGGCAAGTTTCCACCAGAAGGAGCTAATTCTGCTACCTTTTTTATACTGTCTAAAATTGTCAAAGTGAGACTCTTAAGATGCCTATGTCTCACTGCCGTTTCTCAGTACTTAACTGCCCTTTTTTCTTGCTTATGATCAAATCTGAAGTATCCTGCTATTTCATTGTTCGTAAACATATGTGCTCCTCACTCCGAGACATATTACTGAGGACCTTCACGCTAGTTATACAAAAAGTAACAGATCATAGTCCCTCTTTTAATTGAGGTTGAAGATAGGACGTTCTTTGGAAATAAGCTAAATTTTCAAATTTGGGAAGTCTCCTAATGGACTGTATTTCATAAGTGAACTGTAACATATAGCACCTGTTTTCATCTTGTTTTTGGCCTTTTGTTCCTTAAGGGCCCTTTAGCCAATTTGCCCAACCTAGATTCTGTGGCGCTGAAGGCTGCAGTGGTAAGTACACGAATAAGCGTGTCAGTATACGTTTCCTTATGGAATGTTATTCTTACTCTTTCCCATGTGATGATTGTCTGTATTCACAACTGGGTCCAGTCATAATGATTGCACATATATTCCTTTAAAGAGGTCTGATCAAGACAGACATTGGTAGTAATATTTCACCATGCCCTAATAGTCTCATTATTCCTGTTTAGATTTTCTTCACTTTCAGAATTTTACTCCTAAGCTAATGAAGAAACAGGAATGACAACATGAAGAAGTGAGGCTATATATCATGAGAGACAACCACCAATAAGAGCTGCATTTATCACGCAACTAAATAAGTGTATAAAGAATACAGTTGTGAATTGTGATAATGCTGTGAATTAAATTATGCAGATCCAAAATCTCAGAGTCAGCCCCTTCATCCCGTTTACTACTAACCAAATCGTGATGATTTTGCTCTCTAATTTCCTCAGATATCTTCTTTTCTTTTCATTCCTGTTGCCCTTGTTGTCTGAGATGCTGCAGGAGCTTCCCGTTTGTTGCCTTGGATCTGCTTTGTACGACCTCGCCTTTGATTCTTTCTGCCTTGGCCAGAGTTAGCATCTTAAATTCAAATCAGATGATTTTCCCCCTTTTGCTATTTCCCTCTTTTAATGGTTTTGCTAATGCTTTTACAATAGAAATTAGAATCTGTTAGAAAAGCTTTCAAGTCCTACATGAACTGAGCTCTAGTAGCCATTCTTTCTCACCTAAGCCTTCATCCACACTGTCCCCACACTACGCACACACCTAACCTAATGTCAGTTCGTCTTCGAGATTTTACTTAAAATGTCCTTTGCTCAGAGACGCTTTTGCCAAACACAAAGATTAGATTTGTGTCCTCCTGATGGATGCTTTTATAGTATTGGTACCTTGGTTTTTCCTTTATTTACATTTGTTTACTACCTCTCTCACTAGACCATGAGCTCTGTGAAGCTAAGGACTGTCTTTTTTTGCTCACCATTATATTTACATTATGTTATAAGGTACCTTAGCAATAACAGGTACTTGATGTATATTAATAATGAATAGATGAGTAAATGATTAACAGATACTCTGGATTTTAAAAAGTAAAGTAGACTTGAAATCTGATGATTTAACATCTTATTAATATTATTACCCAGAAGTTTGGTGAGGGAGATCAAAATGAATGGCTTGGATTTGAAATTTTAAAAGTAGATATTGCTGATAACTGAGTACCTTAAAGAGTTGACACTTGCAGTGAATTTAGTTACAATATAGAAGAAATAACTCATTTTGATCACAAAGACCTCGTTATTTGGAATATGGGATTTTCCCAAGGATTTAATCCTTAGAAAGGGATGATTATTAAGGAGGTCTATTAGCAGATATATGCACTTTCTGTTTCGAATTTCTCTGTTTCATTTAGGTTCAGTTTGACCGCTATCTGTCAGCTCCTGACAACCTGTTAATGCCACAACTGAACTTTCTTCTAAGTGCCACAGTGAAGTAAGTATTTATTGGTCCCAATTATTAATAGTTGCTAAAGATTCACATACATTTCTTAGAAAAAAAGTATTTTTTAAAAAAGGAGATTCAATCATTGAGGATTTATAGTTCTCAACCTTTTTTTCTACCTCAGCACCCCTAAGAGATCTGACCTTACCCTGTTCATACTTGTTCCTTACATGTTTGTAATTTGAAAGTGTCTATTTAGTGAATGCTTTTTTAAAAACTAATGAGACTTATATAATTGAAGCTACAACGTGATAATACGAAGTTCCATTGTATTAATACACAAGTCAAAATTGCACTAAATATGTGATGAAAGGTTAGTAATATGTTCATTGTGCAACACAGATGTCCTACTATTTAGATCATTTTGGACTCTGGAAGTTTCTATAAATATAAAATTGTTTGATATCACGTATTAGAAATGTGTTCAAGGCAAAGGACTATACATTAAAATATAAGGGTATTAAAATTAGAAGAAAGAGAGATTATACTAGGTGACTCTTGATTTTAGCAAAAATATTGACAAAATTTTGTACAAGTAGGAAATCAGACATCTGTACCTTTTTTTTCTTCCCATTCAACTAGTATATTAAGTGTTCTGTACTACCAGGCACTACAGAGTCAGATTTAAAAGACAATTTCACTGTCTTAATATAGTCTGACATGTCAGTTACACTCTTGAACAAATATTTACATTAAAAGTACAATAAAGAACTATGCAACTTGAAAAAAAATGCTTTAAATATCTGAAAGGATGTCGAGGTACGGAGGTGGTCCACTGGCCTTCTGTGGTTCTGAGGAGCAAGGAGGCAGCTTTGGGCTCAGCATGAGGGAGAATTTGGTGTCAGTTAGAATTGGCTGGAAATGGATTCTCTCAGACATAGAGTTAGGGTTCTAACTATAACTAACCTAATGAGGAAACTGGAATGACAACATGAAGAAGTTAGGCTATGTATCATTAGAGACTTCCATCTGTCAATCATCCTTGGCTTATCGTTCTTGACTTCTGAAATGGACTCCAGTCTTAATATATTGCTTTTGAGTGTGACACTCAGCAGGCCTCTACTCTGTTACCTTCCTAGGGAGTTCCACATTAGTTGTGGTCAATGTAACTGATTTTACTTTATTTTTTTACTTTTATACTTTTTTTATCTTAAAAGATCTCATACTGTCAACATAACCAAAATTCTAAAGAACTAGGAAACTATAAAACAAATTCCATTATGCCATAATTCAAATTGTTTGTTTTTCTTAAGTTATTTACTTTGTTTAATCAAATACTTTTTAATATTTATTTTATATTTTGTATATGTTTTTTATATTTATATTTAACCACTTGTTTCAGTACTTTGTACTATATAGGCATGATATGCATTTGATCTTACTTATAAGGCATTGAAATAATAGGTAACTTTTATTCAGTTAAATTTTGAACCTTTTCAAAATGGTAATCTGTTTTTAAGCTAAAATAATTTCATATCCATATTGATTTCTATTCATAGTGTATTTAAAATATCAGTTGTTTCTTTGAAATAGAGCTTTGCAGTGTAAAGCTTTTTTATTCCTGTCTTGTTTTGTTAATGTTCTGTTCTCTGTAACTTTGTGGTTGCAGTACCTTGGGGACCCCTATCACTCTTCTTTATTCTTGTCTTGTGTTATAGTTTGACTGCCTCTCAAAGTGGAGTTTGATTGTATACTTCAGCCTTGTAATAAACTATTGAATGAATTTAAGTAGCCAGGAAATGAGGTTGTATTAAAAATTAAAAGGTAGAAAATTAAAGCATTATTAAAGAATCCTTCCTTCCATGTGATTAATTGGAAGGGCGTTGTTCTTTTTTCAGTGCCAGACTCCAACATTTATCTTTTAATAATATAAAAATAGAGGTTGGACTATAGAAACCACAGTAACGCATATTTATGAAATATTCTGTGTCTTCTCTTATTGAATCAGAATTCTTTGTGTGAATAATTTAAGAAATAGAGACTATAGATGCTTCTTAAAGTGAGTGTGTAGAAAAGTATATATGATTTGAGAATTCTTTGATTGAGGAATCTTCATCTGTTGCATATGGTAGAAGCAAAGCAAATTTCTTTAAAAGTAATGACTTTGGGGTTGTTTTTTTTTTTTTTGAGGTAAATGGAAAAATTTTCTTCTCTTTCACTGCCTCCTTTTAAGCATCCATGGAATTCTCCAGGCAAGACTACCTGAGTGGGTTGCCATTCCCTTCCCCAAGGGATCTTTCCAACCCAGCGATCATACCTGGGTCTCCTGCATTATAGGCAGATTCTTTACATAAGTGCCACCCAGGAAGTCCTCCTTTTTAAGCTTTAACTATCAGGAATACCAGTATAAACAGAAAATAAAGCAGATTTGGTAATAAGCACAGGGTGAGCCTACCAAAGAAATAGTGACTATTGGAAATGTGCAAACTGATAAACGACTGGGACTCACACTGTGTAGAGACCTGGGAAAGTCTAAGCCTTTAAAGTGAGGCTAATCTGTCCTACAGTAAAGGCTACTTTAGACTCGTACTAATAAAGTTAAAGAGAAGACAAACTTCTAAAAGATCATGTGGATCTTTACTGAATTAACTGCCTTCCAGAACAAAACTTAACACTTGTAACTATGGCAAAATACAATCAACAGTGTAACACTTATAGTGCTGAACATGCAATAAAAACTACTTAGGTATAGTACTAGCAAAGTATGAACCAAAACTAGAAACAAATCTGTCAACAGAAACAGACTCACCAACATAGTTTATAGAATTAGCAAGTAAGATCTTTAAAGCAGCTGTTTCAGATGTGTTCAAGGACTAAGAGGAAAACTCATGGGTAGAAATAATCACCAGTTGGACATTCTAGAGGGAAAGATCAATCAGCTTGAAGAGAGAACAATAGTAATTGCCCAGACTGAAGCTCAGGTAGGAAAAAATTAAAAGCTGTAGAGCAGATGAAGAATCTTAGGTGGTGAATTGTGAGACAGTAACAAGCATTGAAACATAAGTGAAGTGTCATAGTGAGATTAAGGCATAAAAAATTTGAAGGCATAAAAGAATTTTTTTCAAATGTGGTGGGAAACATGAACCCACAGTTTCAGGAAGCTAAATAAATCACAAGGAAAATTCCACTAAGGTACACCACAATCAAATTACTGCAAACCAGTGATAGAGAAAGAAACCTTAAAAAGCAAGATTTTAAGGGGAACAATGATATTTGTGGGGAATAACGATAAGGATACTGCTGACTTCTTGTTAGAAACAGTTCAAACCAGAAGACAGTAAATCACATCTTTTTAAAAGCTGAATGCTAAAACAGTTTCAACTTTGTATATTCGTCAAAAGTATCTTTCAAACTGAAAGCAAAAAAATACATTTTGGGATAAGATAAACAAAAGTAGAGAGCATTTATCATCAGTATACTGCACTGCAAGAAATGATAAGGAAGTTCTTCAGGCTGAAGAAAAATGGTACCACAGGAAAGCTCATGTCTACACCAGGGAGTGACAAGTGCAGGAAATGCTAAATATAAAAGATAGTGGGCCTTTAAAATAAAATTACTAACAGTGAATGTGGGATTCTTAACACTGAGAAATAAAGTTTATGGCTACAAAAGCATAAAAGATGAACTTGGATGGCAGTAGAAGTATACTGTTAAGGTGTTGAAGGTTGCTCATGAAGTGCGTAATATTGTTTGAAGATAGATTGTAAACCTTACAGTGAGCACTAAAATAAATAATATGCCGGTGGATAAAATAGAATGTTAAAAAGACAATTAGATTAAAAGAAGGCAGAAAAAGAGAAAAAAAGAACAGGTGGTATAAATATAAAATGAATAACAGGATGATAAACCTAAATTCAGCCCTAAACATAAATATATTAAATGTAAAAGGGCTACACACTCCAGTTAAAAGGCTGAAAGTATTAGATTGGGTGTAAAAACCTGGCCCAACTGTCTGCAGTCTATGAGAAATCCACTTTAAGGGCACGGTTAAAAGATCATATTATATCATGCAAATAAAAATTATAATAAAGCTGAAGTAGCTGTATTCTGATGTTAATATCAGAAAAATTAGACTGATGGGAAGATGATGCTACCGAAGATAAAGAGGGATATTTCACAATAATAGGATCAATTCATGAAGAAGATATAATAGTAAATATGTACAACTAATAGAGCTTCAAAAAACATGACATATAAGCTTATAAAATTAAAGAAGAATAGATAAATTGACATTCATTTTGATATTTCAGCCCTCCTCTCTCGATAATTAATAGAAGAAGTAGAAAACTACTTGTTTTGGTGTAAAGGAACTGAACAGTGTCACTAATCAGCTCAACCCAATAGAAAGAAAATACCACACACAACTACAGAAAATAACAGTCTTTTAAAGTGCATGTAAAACATTCACTCAGCTAACATAAGAACAAATAGAAATAAGAAAGCCACTAGTGAGTATTCCTGTTTATGAGCATGGTATACCTACCTGTTTATCCAGATCATCTTTTAGAATTTTCAGTAAAGACTTAGTTTCTTTGTATAGTTTTCCATGTATATTGTTGGGTTTATTCCTAGAAAACAGTTTTGTGACTCCTTTGATAAGGTCTTTTATTTTCCATTGCATATTCTCATTAGCTGTTGCTGGTAAATAGGGAAAAATACTAAATTTTATACATTAATTTTGAATCTGACCAGGTAATTAAACTGTTAGTTCTATTAGTTTATCAGTTGTTTGCCTTCATTTTGTTTGTTTGTTTGTTTCTGGTACAGATATCTGAAGTTAATGAGTCATTAATTTTTTTCAGTATTTATAATTAAACTTATTATATTGACTAGGTGCTGCAAGTAAATAGTAGATGTAATGGTGAGTGTGCATATTTTATTTTGCACTTTACTGAGAATGTTTCTGATATTTCATCACTTAAGTGTGATGTTTGCTGTAGATTTCCAGTGTTCCAATGTGGACACATGGTATTCTTCTCTAACTGGGTATA